CATTACCAGTGTAGCTTTAAGTCATATTTTAATTTTATGTAGCAGTTATTTGAATACAGTCTTTTAATGTGAAAAATAGCTCTATTTTGAATAAATCTCTTACAGTGCTTACCATTTTACCTCTTTTGAAACGACGTGCCATTCGATTATAGTCAGGTTTTCCGGTAAAATGGAAGAGCTCAAATTGCTTTGACTGTATGCCTCCTGTAACTGCCATATATATGCTCTTAATTACTCGCGGTAGGTGAGGGTGTATCCTGAACTTTCATGAAGGGCATGCTGTTGAATAAACAAAATTACATAAAACCAAATGAAAAAATTGTTTACCAAATTGTTTATAATAAAAAAAAAAAAAAAAAAAATGCATCTCAGATGCATAATGGAAAGGCATCCTATTTAGTAATATGTCTTCTGCTTCCCAATAATTTTGTGTTGTAGTAAATATACATTATCGATATGTTTTATTATAATGAAATCATTTTTGGGGGGGTGTTATAGTTAAAACATACAGAAATGATTGCTTATGCTAAATAGTAAGTTTCAAAATCTTATAGATATTCGAGAGAGTATGTCATCACTGGATCACCTTATGCTGGTGCTGACAGACATAATGGAGAAATTGCAGCATTTCACTTAAACAGGTTAGTAGTTCTTCATTATTATGGAAATGTCAGTTTTTTTTTTTTTTTTTTTTAATCTGATAATGTTGTTGAAGATATTTAATGATCTGTTTAATCTAGTGTCATAAATACGTAATTATTTTTTCAAGAAAACTGTTTAAATAACTTCCTATATTTTCTTTTTATTTATAGCAAATGTTTTGGTTAATTTTTGGATTATTGTAACTTATCGATTTTTTGGCGAAAATTTGGCGATCAACCCTGCTACAGCAACCTGCTAGTTTTTGTTCGGACGCCATTTTGTTTTCACGAAGTAAAGGCCTGTTTTTTTTTAACTCAACATTTTTTTCCAACAATCTGCTAGCCGAATTACGCTTATGCTAGAACTTTTATGGAACAAAAGTGCTTAATCATGATGAAGATTAGGTGCGAAATTGGGAGAAAGTGCAGAATCGCAAACTGCTTGCCGCGTTTTTAAGAATTGCACATACACGGTATCCATGTACACATTGATCTATTTTCACTTAAAAAAGCATCACAGAATTGCACAAAAACGGCATTGCACACACTCTTGACTTTATCCATGTACACTGCTAAAGTCCTAGCTAGTAACCTTTATCGCCTTACCAAAATGTCACCAAACTACCTGTTACCGTATTCCAAAGATTAGCCAATGTTTTTAGTATTAGTCCTTTAGGATACTCATTTAACTTTACCTGTATCATCTAGGTGAAGAAATTGAATTTGAGATTAAAAAAGCCTGATGTCAGGAAAACATTCATTACTTTCCTAGGAACGTTTAGTGTTAATTGTGTGTTTGGTACTTTTCCATTATAAGCCTGCTACACATTTTATTGGGTAATTTAATTATAAACTATTTCTAGTTATAGGAGTAGTTTATTGATGATTAATACACATATCGTGTGACAGATGATGGCTAATAGATCATCACCTGCAATGTGCCAAAAAGCATGGCAGGTACAAAACAACAAATGCTATGATTAAGTTTCTTGAAATTTTAATTCATTTAAATTTATTTAACTATTCATCTACATCTAGTGACACACCATTTGTTGATTCGCTTCCCTCTTGCAGTTCATTTCTTTCAAATTCATTTGTTTGTGTGTTCAATTTTACTGTAGTGGATTTAAAATTTGGGATTTACCGAGCAACAAACAAATGGTAATTATGTCCTGTAATTGCTGTGCCAAGAATACCGACTAACTTGTCAATCGAAATTTTTTCGTTTTCACTAACCTCTCTGTCACTTTCTTCATGCCTTTATCCATTTTTTGCAGCAATTCCACTTTTTGTTTGATGGACATCGAAACATGCTTTCGCTTTGTAGATCCTTTGGCAGCTCCAGAGTTGGAAACTCTTTTTGACATAATCGAAAGTTCAAACTTACTTTTTATAAAATTGCTCTAACAGTGTGCAAAAAATTAATAAGCCGGATCCAATTAGAAGATTAAGAAACAATGCAATCTGCAACATTAACTGAAATAGATAATTAGATAACTTTAGCCTAGCTTATACTGTCCGTTATACATTAAACGTGCATGCGTAAACATATTATGCGCATGCATAAGTGCTACGCATGCGCAGAAAATTTGTACCTTTAAGGTCTGGATTATAGATCATTCCGGATTATGGACGTCCGGATTAAAGACTCCCATTTAGTATTCTCATTAATTCAAACTTATGTTTTTTAGTAACTAAAAATAATAAATTCTTGGTAATAATAAATTGCTATCTATAAACTATAATTCTTATAACTAGAAATTGTTTATAATTTAAAAAAACCTGCCAAAATTCATGGCAGGCACATAATGGGAAAGTACTGTCTTTTTAATTTCTTTGAACTTTTGTGAATAAAATTTTCAGTAGATTAAACTGCACATCTCTAAGAGAAAAGTCTTTTAAAAATTAAGGTATTTACATTATATCTTATCAATCATGAAAGGTGGATACCATCAAACCATGGAAGTTGGCAGAGTTCTCACCAATTATTTCTGAAGAATTACAAAGGAAGTAATGCCTCTTTATTTAACATTCAATCAGTATTTGATATCCACTTTTTTTTCCAAAAGTTCTTTTGCCGATTGCTACTATTGTTAAGCTCTTTGAGTTTTTGAAAAGCAGTGTTACGAATTCTGAGTACAAACTTCCCGTAGGTAATAGTTTCAGTCTGTTACTATTTTGATGACTTATAAATCTGAAAATAATCTACTGCTTGTTCTTCAGAACGCAGGACAAAATTTTATTATTATTATTATTATTATTTAAAATGCAAGGGGAAAAATACAGCAATAGACAGTTAATTTATATCTTTCTTCATAAAAACAAAATATAGCTTATTGAGGATCAGGGGAAATGATGTTGTATACAGTCTACCACTTTTAGTTATTTATTTATTTCTTAGGTGGTGTCTATAAAACATTACTTCTAAGTATGAAAATAAATGCAAAAAACCTTCTGTATGATGTTAAAATTCAAATCCCTTCAGGTTTTTTTTCCCTTGTAAAATCATTTTGATATTAAAATGTGAATTTTTAAAGTGTATTTAATTTATTTTGGGTGACTAATTAAATGACATTAATTTCATTAATTAATAACTTATTCAATTTTTAATTCCAGGAAATTTAAATTCCTTCTAATTTTACAAAAAAGTGGCCCTTAAAAGGGCTGTTTTCAAGAGTTATTCAGCCACATAGACAGTCAAAAATCCGACTCGTCAGGACTTCGGCGATTCGGGATTATCGGTTTTTCCGGATTATAGATCATCAATTTAAATCTGGTAAGATGGCATGCAGAAATTATAAAATTAAAAATATGAAACCGTAATTTATGAAATAAAGAGCAACTATGATGTAAAAAGTATCAAAATTTACAAAAAAAAAAAAAAAAAGCTTAATATTTATTTGTTTACTTTATTAAACATTTCTTTCAACCCGTGCATGCGTAAAGCATACATTACGCATAGTCAAAATTATAAAATTTCAACCAGAAAACTATTTGATGTGTATTCGTGATATTTATAATGACAAGGAATTTGATTTAAATCATATCAAAGACGGAGTACATCGATTTTTTTTCCAGATTATGGATGTCCAGATTAAAGACTTTTGACTGTACTATGAAATACAAGTATTTAAAAATATGTAAAAAAAAGATGATTCCATTAATTTATTTAATAACCCATTGATTTTTAAGTCCATTAAATTTAAAGTTTGGCTTTGGTATTTTTTTGAATAAAGGGAAACAGCTATTTCATAGATTTTTATCTAAAGTACTGTCTTTAAATGTTGTTTTTGTTGTTGCTGTTAAAAAGAAAATTACCATGTGCAAAAAAAAAAAAAAAAAAAAAAAAAAAAAAAAAAAAATTATTAACTATATATATAAAATATTATTAATATATTTATATTAGCAATTTCTGTTATCACATCCTAAAAACATATGTACTAATTCTTCCGTGCAACCATACGATTTCATGCAGTCATTTTATGTTGCATTTTTCTTTTTTTTTTGTATTTATGTAGTTAAAAATTAAATTTTGATTAGGTTTCAACATTTTAGATGCATTAAAATAATTCTGATTATTAATAACATGCAATTTCTGTCTTGTTTTTTTTAAATATGTCTATATACAAGTCTATAGAATGCTATATATCTTTTATGCGTAATTCTGCATGAAGAAAATTAGTAAGTTGAATTTTTGATTTTTTTTTTTTTTTTTTTTTTTTTTTTTTGGTGGGTGGGAGCTCACTTTACTTTTAGTTTGTTGAAGTCAACTGTTTAATGTTTCATTGCTTATCAGAATAATGAAATAAGTCCTTTAAAAACATCTTAGCAGTATGTAAAAAGTCACATTTAAATACATCATGTAGTTTACAAGATCACAATTACAATACTTAGTTCTGAATTTTTTTTTATTAATGTTTATAATAGTAGGATATTTTGCTTTACTGTACTACAGAATTTTCCTATAACTGAGCGGTAGATGATTTGAGAAATTTTAAAAGATTATTTTCATTATGGTCAAACAGTATTTGCTTATTCTTTTATTGCAAATTTTAAACTTATCTTCATTTTATCAATCAAATGTTCAATAATCAAGCCTTTTTTTTTATACTCCTTTTCTGCAGCATTATTTATTTCATTTATGTGTGAAATGAAGACCGATTCTTTTAAAAATTATAGTGTCCCTTACATGCATTTCATCACCTTTTAAAACATCTCACAGTTTATCTAGTATCCTTTAAATTCATGAAAATCAATAGAGTTTTGACTAACAATCCAATAGATGTTTTTGAGATATAGTCAAAACAAACAAATAGAAAAATTAAAAATATCTTCACCATAAAAAGCAAATGCATGGTACCTTGCCTATCGAAAGCAATCAGTTCCAAAATGGTTTTCATTATGTGGGATGCTTTTTCCCATAGGAATAATTTTAACATTCCTGAACTCTATTCTAAATTGTGGCATACTAAAAAACTTCAAAGAATATTAAAAATTAAAGAGTGTTGTAAATACTAGGAATTTATTAATTTATTCTTTACAAAAATATTTATCTGCACAATGTATAGTTTTATGTTTCTCAGTTTCTTTTACTGGAATATGTTCCTTGTCTTTTATTAGAAGTGGAAGTCTCACCCGTGATTGATCTATCTGTCTTTGTTTCATTTGGGAACTAGATTTTTCAAGCTTGTGTCTGATGTAGTTATCTTCTTCTCCGTATCTTCAGATGATCACAAAATAGTTTATGGTATTGCTATTGAATAGTTGTGTCTCTGTCCTTCTGAACATGATCAGTATGTCACTTCTGCTTCTATAGTTGAAAACTGGACAGCATTTGCAGTCTCAGAAATAAATTGCTTTAGCCATCTATCCTTTACATACCATTTGCTGTTAAATAGTGTTAAATCAAGCACTTGATCCATAGTTGTCAAACCTACACAGGAGTATGACATAAAGTTGTACCATAGGCTGCAACAATTTAAGGGGAGGGAGCAGGTAACTAGAAACTTGAACAATGTCTAATAATTTGGTACTTTATTTTTAAAAGAGAGATTTAATTTGGCATCCAAAGGATTTAATATTCTTTAAGGACTGCAAATGATTTTTTTGTCATAGTTTTTTTATATATTGTTATTCAAAGCATTAGAGGGTATCAAAAGAAAGCAAATTATCACACATTTATTTCTTTTAATAATAATTAATAGGCAGAAGGTGTTGTTACCTGTATAATTTTTTACAAAATAATTGTCGCCCAGCTGATATAATGGTTTACATCGTTGACTGCTGTGCCAAAGGGCTCGGGTTCGAATCTTGGAGAAGGCATGAATGTTTATAGATGTATAATGTCAGTGTGGTATGTGGCGGCACTTTAAATATGTGGCGAATCAAAAGTATGGTTTGATGGGGAGAGCAGTGGCAGACCCTCGGATCTGTTCCACTGGGGTACTTTCCATCGAAATTGGGTGTGGAAGAGTTAAATCGCACTGTCGCCGGAATGATGTTCAAGGCTGTTTGTTGCCAACGGCAGGCGCATTGTAGCGCTCTCTGCCACGAGGAATTTCGTGCACTTAGGCTGACTATGTCAGACAAGTGAGCATAAATGGCAAAAACAACATACAAAAAAACTTGATTTTTCTAATTATATTTTTATTTGGATCTTTTCTGTTGTCAAACATGGTTTTATATGAAGATATATTCACCAGAATACATTGCCATATTAACCGAACTTTGATTCGTACATAAATAATGTGAATTTATGTGTAAATGCTAGAATAAAAAAAAAAAAAAATTTTTTTTGAACATATCTTAGCCGACATTATTGTCTTTTGGCCATTTTTCAGTTAAATATGTTATTATCTCTTATAACACTGTTATTGTGCTTAAAGCAAATTTTATTAATAAAAAGTATGTCTTTCTGTTTTAGTTTTTATTTGCTGAAAAGGTTAGCCTGAGAGCCATATTTATTATGTTTAGAATAATTTTTTTTCATGTTGTTTTGTGATAGAAAATGTATATTTGTTCTTTAAACACGTTAAAATATTTTTCCATAAAAGAATTCTGATATTTCAGGCTTTTAGGTCTTTGTCGATGTCCTTTAACTGTTGGTAGAATTATCAACCTTAAAACAGAAGTTTTACCTGTTGCATCAGAAAGTTTATCAAAGACATTTTTTACAAAAGGTATTTTTGGAAATTTTTTCATTTCTCCTTCAGTGTTGTTGAAATACATATTAAAGTTTGTGTTGTAAGTGTAACTCAAAGGTATTAATTACTCTCTGTGCTGTAAAATATCTAAAATAATCAGGTGTTAAAAAATGTCCGTTATTTATTTATTTATTTTTTTTCTTTCTTTCTTTCTTTCTTTCTTTTTTTCTTTTTCTTTTTTTTTTTTTTTAATGATTGTAATGAATTCTGTGAAAACTGTAAAACTTTCTTGTGCAAGAAAATGTAGTAACTGTTATTTACCCCAAGAATCATGTTTGCTATTTCGAAAGAAAAATTTTTTAACTAAAGAAAAGTGCCAATTTAATTTTGTATCATGCTACTTTTCCTTTTTCTGCAACGCAAACAACGCAGACACATGACAGTGAAAGTACGGACAAACAATGTAGACTACAAATAAACAAACTCTGTTATTGAATAAATTAAAAATAATTTGAGCAATTTGATGGTCTACAGAAATAAAAATTTATTCTTTATTTTAGTTAAAATGAATTTCTAGATGTTGTTTGTTTAGTCATATAAAAATACCATATTTACTTGCATATTTCGCTCTGTCACATAATTTTCTTCTTTGTGTTTTTCAGTTCTCAGAAAGGTTTGATTTTATGGTTAACATACATGGTATGAATCAACAGCAAAATAAAATATATAATTAAAAAGGGTAATGAAAGTAATAACTGTAATTAACTCCTTTAAAATATAGAATGCAGTAATATATGCATATATTTATATATTTAAATTACTTACTTTCCAAAATATGAAAGAAATGAAGAAACAATGGTAAGCATTACAAAAAGTGCATTTTGTGTTTTGTTTCATGTAGTTTAAAATATTTTAACTGTACGATTTTAAGATAGTATTTTAATAAATTAAATAATTTAAAAAATAAAATACTTTAAATAAAAGAAAATAAAACTTCTAACTTGCATAACAGTAAACACATGCATAGAGGCAACTGGAATTTTTCAAACATCTGGATAGCCTATTCTGCCGGACACTCTGGCTGTTTTTCTTCTGTTTGATGATATAAAGTACAAAATGATGGTTGACTGTACTATTTTTACTTTATACTAGATTTGCTACATATATTTTATTTTGTGGTCTAAAAGCAATATGCCCTGCCTAGAATTTTCATTGGAAATGAATGTAAAATTAGTGAATGATTTCTGATGTTTCTTTTGTCATATGTCTGATTTAGTAACTTATTATAATAAAGCTTTTATTTCTTTCTTCTTTTCATGTATGAAGCTAAAATATAGTTCTGATTTTCAGAAAATGACACTTGTTTCTATGGACATTGCTACTACTGTTCTCCTGCCGATCCTGCATGTGCTGTAGGAGATGTTATGGAAGGAGCTATGATTCTCATGCTTCCAGAAAAATACAGACTTAAGAAGTACCGTAGTCCATGGCAGAGAACATACAAAGATACAGTTACAGCTCGGTAATTTTAATTCTATTGATATGATGATGAGATTTTATTCCCATATGATGATAAGATTTTAATTAATTCACATTAAAATAGTTTTCTGGTAACTAGTAAATTTGATAAATAATTTTTATGTAGTTTAATATAGTAATTCTGAATTGTGGTGTTGCAAGTTACTAGTAGATCAGTTTTCTAAATTCAGTCATTTCCATCTCTCCCCATCAAGGTGCAAGTGATCAAGGCTTTTAATAATAGTAGTGTAGTTCATGTATATGGAAATATTTATATTCTGTAAAACATTTTTAAAATTCCAAATGCATAAACTTTACAAACTGGTAATGGGACCTTAAAATTTACTGTTCAACATCTATATCCTCTTGAAAAGGCAAGAAAAAAAAAAAAAAAAAAAAAAAAAAAAAAAAAATTGAACTTTAACAATTTTGTTGTGCTTTTTTCTTTTTTTTTCCTATTAATGATTAAATTGAATATCGTTAGTTAAGTTTGTGTAGTTAAATTGAAAATATTTTAAAAATATTTAGTTCATTTATTAATTGATACATGTTGTGTATAGCCAGTTTTGTAATTGAAGTGTTTGACTAATTAGTATTTTTAATATTTTTATAGAATAGTGATTTATGTACTTAATTGTATGTATAACTGAGTTAGATGAGCTCTTGTCAGAGTTCAGGTGTGGAGTGTGTTAAGGAATATTATAAAGGCTTACTTGACGCTTGTTAAGGCTTACTTGAAGTATTGGCTTACTTGACGCTTCCCCTTCTGAACATGTGACTTGAAATTTTATTCTTCTTGAAGGTAGAATTCGATGCACTATGCAATATAATTCAATTTAGATTCTTTGATGGAACTATTCAGTTCTTGCGTTTTGAGCCTTCAGGCATTTTAGCCTATATTGTATTCATGTAAATATGAAGCTTAATTAAAATTTATGTAAAACCCTCCAGGCCAGTCATCTCATTTTGGATTATGAATGATTCAAATTTGATCTAGAATTTCGTAGCAAATTATGCTGAGATAGAGGCAAACTCGCTTAACTTTTTTTTAGGAATTTCACAAATACTCAGTGCTGTACTTTTGTTGGTACAGCAGATATCTATGCAATACTTTGTTTTTTAAGCTTTTGTAGGTCAACAGAGCTATATCGTTGTTGATACAGTTGTAAAAAATCTGGAGATTTGCAGGGAGAGGAGGCACGAAAATGGTATCTTTCAATCTCATAAGAAAAAAATGATGCGAGATTAAATATGAAGATGGGGGTAGCTAATGCATTAATGTGCCATCTTCTCATCTTGAGCATCTTGATCAGGATAGTCATTGAGATGCTCGTGCAAATGATCTCATCTGCCTGTCTAATAGTGAGTCAGACAGTGGTCTTGTAGATAGAGGTAATATTGCAATTTCCTTGAACTGTGAGCCAGTTTGTCCATGTATATCCTTCCAGTGTGGGTAGATATCTTCTGTATTAGGGAAGTTAAATGCACAAACTCTTTGTGAAATGTGTTAAAAAAATTATGAGTTTTGTATTTCCATGTAAAAAAAATTAATATGGGTTGCATACTTTGTTATGAATTATTAAAATCTTCATACAGTTATGAGTAACCGTGTATTTTTTAATTTTTTATCAACTGTTATTAGCATAAAAATAAATTAGCTTGTTGTAAGCGTGTCGAACTTTGATATTTTATTTCATTTTTGGTACTCTTCTGTTATCAGGACTGTATTAAAAATTGCATGTGTGCACATGTGTATGTATGCATGTGGTATATATGCATGTGTATAAATACATACATACATACCTACATATATGCAAGCATACATGAACATGTCCATCCATTGATACATGCATACAACATAAATTTCTGAATCTGGTCATGATAACAGAAGAATACCTTATTTTTGAATAATTTGAAACTTTCATGCCATAACAACATGTTAGAATGCTAATCTCTGCTGCCAGTGAAATTCACATTTCAAAAAACTAATAGCTGGTCATGTAGCTTAAAAAAATGAATAAAAATAAATCATTAAATTCGAGATCTAGCATTTAAAAATTTTTGAATAGTACTATATAAAATAGGGTTCACAAATAAGATACAAACTTCTAGTAAAATTAGTACAAAAATGTCTTTTTAATGAGTTTGCATATATAATTTCTTGGAAAAGAAATTTTAAATTTATGTCAAAGACAAATTTAAAAAGAAATTAATTTTTAGACACAAATCTGTTTCTAGCAATCTGAAAAACTATCTATAATTAGTGAAACTTAGCAACTAGTATAAAAATGAGAAAGCTTTGTATAATATATTTACGGGTGCCTCTTGGCGATAATTGGACACCGAGTTTGTGCAATTCTTTGAGTTGTTATTGTGGATTTGTGTCACAAAAATCACCGCTGGACAAATCCAAAATAACAACTCAAAGAATTGCACAAACTCTATATCCATGTACACATCGACCTATTTTCATTTAAAAAAACATCAGAGAATTGCACAAACTAGGCATTGCACACTCTCTTGACTTTGTCTATTTCAGCCATTTTACTGTGTAAACCACAAAATAACAACGTACTTCTTATCCAAAATCCGACACGCAAACAAGCCTTTCATCATTCAAATTCACTGCAATCATGCAACCAGTTAAGTCATACTAAGGTTCCCATAGCATTCAACTACTTGGGTTACGATAAATGAAACAACAACTTGGTGGCAAATGAAACAACAACTTAGCAATAATCCAAGGGGCACCTTTAAATCTACTCTAACCCATTTTATCTTTTTATATTTACGAAACAGAAAAAGTTAATTTGGACAATAATATGAGGAAATTTTACCATAAACATCTAGAAGTTTACTAGTAAAGTTTTTCTCTATGCTAGGATACTTCTATTTTTATTAGTTTAGAATTTTTTAAAAGTTTAATATTCTTGTGATGAGAAGTCATTGTGATTGCTTTTATTTTAAATTTATCATTTGAAATTCTTGGAATGCTTGTATCTGATGAGTAATTAAACATTTTTCCAGTAAGTATGTCCAACTGTCAATTAAAGAAAAAAATGCAAAATTCGTTCAAGTTGAAATAGTAACTTTTGACACCAAAATCATTTTACAATTTTTCTTCTTGTCACTAATTAGTTTCTTTTATAAGTCTTTCTGTTCCTTTTGTGTGTAAGGACTTCTAATTTTTTTATTGTTTAAAAATTGTTTAGCTTCTTCTGTTCATGAAAAAAATTTAGGTTAGTATCATTATTCCTAAATTTTAGATCTTATTTTTTTAAATTTCTATTTTTTCCTTTTGTTAACTTCAAATGGAATTTCAATAATATTTTATGTTTTATAAAAGTTTCACAATATTTCTAGAGTAGAAATAGGGGGAAAAGGATTATTGTTAAGTTTTGTGTAAACTCTGAAGTTATTTTTTTTACAAATGAAATTTTTCTTAATTCTAAATCTTAGATGCAAATGGCTTTATTATGTATTTTTTCTCCCTAGTTATATTTGAAAAACCTGAAGATTCATTTTAAGAAATTAAGAAGTTGTAACTTATTCAGCTTAAAAAAAAGAAATGCTAAATTCACGAGAACAAGAAAACTTTACAGAATTATGGACGGACTGAGATTACATAAATAAATAAATAAAATGATAGTAAAAATCTTTGGTCTCGCTGGTTGTGGCAGATTGATTGAAGTTCCATAGTTTGAATAATACTGTTAATTGTAATTAACCACAGAGTGATATAATTAAAACATTTATGAATAAATTATTACATAAATATTTCAGAATATTTTAAAAGTATAATTTATGTATGTAAAGCAAATGTGAGATGTAATTCCAATTATTTATGATTATCTAACATGTAAATGAACCATAAATTCAGGTGCATAGAAGAATGTGTGCATTGTTCTTAAAAATGTTTTTAAAAATGTATGTGATATTTTTATTAAAGTTATCATCGGGTCACTCCTGAGAAACTGAAGTAATTTTTTCTATATATAATTTTTTTTTAAAATTAATTATAGAACTCTATATAATTTTTTTTATTTACTGTATTGAAAATTTGTGTCTATAATTTTTTTTTTAGATGGGAACAAGATTTTAACTACTGTGATCAAATAAGAAAAATAAACATGTTTAAAAAGGGTAACAGATTATTAGATTTGATTGATGCTTCAGTCTTTGATTACTTAATTGGGAATGCTGATAGACATCATTATGAAGTTTTTGCAGATTTTCCAGATAGCATAGTCATTCTCTTGGATAATGGAAAAAGGTATTATTTTGCTTTAACTAATTTTTTATGCATGGATTCGCTTATATCATGTTATATAATGTAATTGTTACGTTTCTTGCATAGAAAATATCTTCCTGAAAAGTAAATTCAAATTTATGTTCTCTTTTAAAATATGCTTTCTTAATTGAAAAATTAAATTAATTTATCTTGTTAATTGTTTTATTTATTAAATGACTTTGGCTTTAATATTTTAAACATTTATTTGTTTTTATTAAATAGTAACAGTTTTGTAATGAAATTCTGATTAAATTGTTTCTCATTTCTTTATTTAATGAAAGCTAATATTATTTAATACAATTATGGTAGATTGGTGTTATAAAAAGCCTCAAATAATTAAAGATGTTTTATATTGGTAGTCTTCTGGCAGATTCAGGTAGCTAATGCATTGTATAAATTTATAGAAATGAGTCTTGAGCCCACCAGTTGCCACCAGTTTTAGAGAGATATGAGTATGAAACCACAAAATAAATAAATTTCTTCGAAACGAAAACTGTAATTATTTTATTTATTTTAAAAATATGCCAAGTGGATAAGATATCAGTGAACCAAGGTTTAATTACTAGCGAACCAGTTAGTTGTATGGTTGTTTTCATAGTTCTCCCAAGCATAATATGAAGGTAAGGCAACTGCTTTAATACATGAACCTAACCTATAAATGTCTTTTTTTAAATCTGTATTTCATTAATTTCAGATGATTTTTAAAGGTGTTATGCAGTAACGTAACATCTTTTATGGGTACCGATTGAAAGTTTTAGGATTAATATTTGATGTATCACATTAGAAGCTCTGCTTCTATAATAGTATGATTGATATATAAAATTTATAAAATTTGCAGGTTTCCCCCCCAAAAAAAAATTGCTATGAAAGGAACCATTTTAAAGTTACACTTGAGTTTTAAAGTCCTTACTTCTGAATAGTTATGTAAGGACAGAAAAAAATTGTCTTAGTTATTTGAATTGTGTGTTATTTAAATTATTATTAATATTATTCAATTTTAAATGATTTAATTAGCTGGCTACTGCTAGTATTTTGATTATTATAAGATCATTTTTTTTGTAAAATATGATGAGAAAGAGATTTTTATGAATTTTTATCCATTATGTTTTAAATTCGCCCCCTTCAGTATAAAAGTGTTTATATTACAAAACAAACCTTCCAACATATTCATATTTTTGGGTCAAAAAATTAACTATTCAAAATTTAGCTAACTTTTTAATACTTTGTGTTCTGTTCCTCACAAGCATAATGTATACAGTAAGTTTTTTATTTATACCTAGACTTTTTTTTTTTTTTTTTTCAGTATACTGCATTATTAGAAACATAGGATCTTGAGACATAGGAGCATGTAGTAAATTTTTTAGAAGTTAGAGGTGAATCTTCTTAAAATATCCAGGAGGAGAAGACAGATATAGAATATTTTCAAAGACAAATCTTGCTATTGATGCATTGCTCAATCTACAATTTTTGATAATTCAGGTGGAATGACTAATGAATTGCATGGATATTTTTAGTTATTGCTGTGATATAAAGGAGCAATGCATTAATTTTCTAAAATAAGAGGAATGTATGATATTGTTTTATTAATATTAGCATAGGAAAAATGTGTGCTAAGTAGAGTTTGGGAAGACTTAGTATTTTGAAAGAGAGTCTTGAGATGGATCTAAAGTATCAAGTCTGTGCTTTAATTCAAAATATTAAGCTATTTATTAATTTTAAATGTTAATATCATTAATTTATTTATTGCATTATTACTTTGCATACTATTACACATTTTCATTAACACTTATATTTACATATTTTAATATAAATATTAAATTTTTAATTAAAGCTGTATATTTGATATGGCTTGGGAAATAAATATATGTGTCATCATGTATCTTTGTTTCAGAACAATATAAAATTTGTTACCTCATATCTGAAGCTCTTTTGCTGTAATTGATTTCTTCTAAATAGATTAAATTATTTTAAATTAAACATTAGGAAAACCGAAGTATTTATGTATTGATCAAGTCATCTTGAACAAATTATAGTGTAATACACTTGGTGGCAATCGAGCATGTTTATTCAGCATTTTCAGTTTGATTTTAGTATTTAACAAATAACATACATTTTTGCTTCAAATTATTGAAATTTTGAGACGAAGGATGAAGATTTTTTCCCCATTTTCTGTAATTGCATACAGTTAACCTTCTTTTGTTATATGTATAGATTTTCATTAATATTATGAATAGAACTAATTTGATTACCAATTATTAAGTTTGCTTCAAAATTTGTATGTCATTTTGCTTGAAGTTTTTGAATATTTGAAAGAAAATTCAAAATAATTTGAAAATTTTCATATCAAAATTCATGTACAGGAAGTTTTGTTTGATTTTATATTTCTCAACCTTAAATTACTTAAAATATCTTTTAATCTTTCTTAACTTGGAGTAACAGCCAGAAATACTCAACAGAGTAAAGAGAAGACAATTGATTACCTTTCTTTAATCTAACTCAGTGATTTCCAACCCTTTTCTTGCATCAATCTCGTTCAAAAGAATGGGTTTCTTCATTGAACCTCTTATATTTTTACTTCCTTATACAAAGTAAAGAAAGATCTGTAACCACGAAAAATTTCGGTTATCATATATAAACGAAAATACACATTTTGACTACTCTCAAATCCATTTGAAAAATTTTTTCCATGACATCTATATGTACAGACAGAATGAAGGATTCTTTTTTCCAAAACATATTGTAAAATGAATTTAAAATAGATTCAAAGGGAATTTTTCGTGATGCCTATATGTATATTTATGTATCTTGCATAACTCAAGAGCAAGTTAGATGAAGAGCGTTGAAATTTTGTATATGGGACTGCTATAACATCTAGTTGTGTACCTCCCTTTGTTGTTACAATTAGCTACACCAAACATGTGTGTGTGTGCGTATCAGTTCTCTTACCTGGTTTGATGAGGACTGTTTTTTTATTCTTATATATTGATAAATACTTGTATATATTCTTATATATTAGTATTAATGATTTGCTTAGAAAGGATATGGTAATTCAACGTCCTGTTAAGAAAGCTCCAAAAATTATTATTTATGATGTAGATTCTGATCTGTCTCGAGATGATCTTAAGATTATGATTAGAGACCAAAATATGGTCTTTGAAAATGGTGGTTTTGACTTAAAATTTTCGATAAAAGGTAGAAAATATATATAATAGTACATTGGGTGGCCAGTGTAGATGCTAAAGAAATGTAGAGAACTTATAAAAGCAGTAAAACTTAACATAAGATGGTCTCGTCTTAGAATTAAAGAAGTTTTGAAAGTAACTCAATGTTTTAAATGTTCAAAGTATGGGCACTTTCAAACAAAATACCTAGAACCGCAAATATGTGTTAAGTGTGGTAAAGTTGGACATAAATATTGGGAGTGTAAAGCTACTCCAAAATGTATTAATTACAAAGAGGCAAATGAAAAGTATGAATTGAAGCTTAGCGTTGATCATTCTAGCTTAGATAAAAATTGTCATTGTCACAAATGACAAATGTATCTTTTAATCAGTCATACTAATTATGGCTAGTAGAGGTGATGAAGACTTTAAAATGGTTCAAATAAATTTACATTACACCAAAGTTGCTGTAAATCAATTATATAAAGCTATTGAAAGAGGCTATAAAACAGCCTTGATTCAAGAACCACCGTATGTAGTGGATAATAAAGTTCAGGGAATCCTGATGAAATTTCAAACTTTTTGTGACAAAAATTATCCACGAGCGGCAATCGTTTTGTTTGACAGCTCTTCAGTAATGCTTTTGTATGCTTCCTCGAATATAGTAGCAATCAAAATGATCACTAATAATAGAAACATAGACCTTACCATTGTAAGATCTTCTTTAGTCCTGAATTGGTCTGTTTCTATGGATATATCATGTAACAATCATCGCTATATTGAGATTGCACTTTTAAACAGCTTACTTAGAGAGAAGAAATTTGAATGTTTCTATATTTGAAATTTGAATTGGCTAAATTTTTGCCCAGAACTGTATAACTTTAAATCAAGTTTCCGAAGAAAATTTAGAATATATTTCTGATTTAAATATTTATATTAAAGATCTTACTAACTCAATAGTGGACATCTGTAAGAAAAATAAGAAGATGAACATATTTAAACAGAGCATCGCTCTGGGTAAACAGCTGCATTGGTGGTCTGAAAAATTGGCTGTTTTAAGAAGCTAAGCTCGATTGTATCAAAGAAAATTTCAGAAATGTTACAATCGTATAGAGAAAAATTTGTTAAAGATTCAATATAAGAAGAAATTAACTGAATATAAACGAGTAATCAACATTAGTAAAAATTATGCTTGAGAACAACTATATGACACTTTGAATATTCATTAACCTTTTGGCATTCCTTACTATATTACTGTTAATAAATATAAACCAGCTTTACAAATTGCCTCTTTAAAATATCAAGATGGGTCTTGTACTAAGAATATAGATGAAACAGTGAATTACATCCTACAGTATCACTTTCCATGTGATACTACTTATGGAGATCTATCATGTCATTATCAAATTAGATCAAATTGTAGGATGCCTCCAGAGACCATAAATGATTATGATTTTACTTTGGATGAAGTGGAATTTACTCTTAAAAAGTTAAGTAAAGGTAAAGCTCCTGGTAAAGATGGCCTGACAATGGATATTATTTTAGAAATCTTTGAATGTAATAAAAAGTTCTTTGTAGCTATTCTGAATGAATGTCTTCAGAGGAGAATTTTTCCTGAATGTTGGAAAAAGGCTGATTTGGTTTTGTTCAACAAAGAAAGGATAAAGAAGATCCTTCCTCTTTTCGCCCCATTTCCGTACTGCCTTCTGGGGCAAGGTGCTGGATAAACTCTGACACAACGGTTACAATATTATTTATTATCAAATAATCTTTTAAATAAAAATCAGTTTGTTTTTATGCCAGGTAAAAGTACTACCCAGACTATAAATAATTTAATTTCTGACATCCTTCGAAATAGAAGGAATAATAAACATTCTGCAATTTTATCCTTAAATGTAAAGTGCACTTTCAACAATGTTTGGTGGCCAATTTTATTAAATTAAATTAAATTTATTATTAAAAAAATATTATTAAAAATATGAAATGTTCAAGAAATATCTTTTTATTAATTTGTGATTTTCTGAATGAAAGAAAAGTTTCCTTATATAATGGTAACAAGTGGCATCACAGAAATTACGAAAGGGGTTGTCCCCAAGGTTCAGTATCTGGTCCACTTTTGTGGAATATTGTTGCTAATATAGCTTTAAACATAACCTTACCACAAAATGTTAGTATACAAGCTTATACTGACGATTTTGTTTTATTGGCCACGGTAAGTGGTTGCCATACTATTGATAAAGCTTTTAAGTTTCGCTACTCAAGAATTGGAGAAGTGGTCGTTCCATGTTAAACTCAAATTTGATCCAAAGAAGAGTTTTCTTTTAGATATTTCCAAAACTAATACTAGATCAATACATCCTAGATGCAAACTGTATGGACAACCAATTAGAGTTTCTAAGACAATCAAATATTTGGGCATTATGATCGATGAAAAGCTCACTTTTATATCTCACCTAGATCAAATAAAGATTGAATGTACCCATATTCTTAATAGACTTAATAAAATGAATCTCCAAGGTAACATTCTTAAAAGTTTATATAAAAGAGCTGTTGAGAGAAAGATCTTGTATGCATGTGGTGCATGGTGGAGTGGACTGGTCTGAATGCATAAAAAATTTTTGCAAATTCAAAGAATCGCTTTATTGGGGATTACTAAATGTTTGTTTCCACAGTAGCTCTTCGGATTTTGGCTGGATGTCCTCAGATCGATATCTTAGCGGGGAAAAAAAAATGCTATCCTTAAATTTAAAGCAGGTAATAAAGCTGTCAATTGTTTCAGCTAGAGATTTTGACTTTGAGAAAGGTTTAGACATTCATCCAGCTTTGTTGAAAGGGTTGAATTGGCATAAAGACCCCCCCCCCCAATATGACAGGCTACACGGTTTTTACAGATGGATCTAAATTAAATGGTCACGTGAAGGCACAGTGGTGTAGCGAGGAGGGGCAAGGGGTGTATGATGCCCCAGGCGCCGCTTGTAAATGGGTACCAAATGGTCTCCAAACCAGATTTTCATCATATCACTGTGTTTTTTTTTGGGGGGGGGGCGCCAAAAAGGTATTTTGCCCCAGGCGCCAGTTATGCTCGCTACTCCACTGTGGGGGCAGCCTTTTGTGTGTTCTCAGATGAGAAACTAAGCTTACAAAGAAAATATAGACTTTCTGACAATGCCACTGTCTATCAGGCAGAGTTAGTGTCCCTGCGAGAGGCCTTATATTGGCTTATTTCTAATTCTGCGACAGATCCTGTAAAAATCTATAGTGACTGCAAAAGCACAATTGTTTCAATTATGGATGTTTGTCCAAGTAACGATCTAATTAAACAGATAAAAGACATGCTCATTTTTTGTAGCACTCTCAGAGATATTAAACTCTTTTGGACAAAGAGTCATATTGGTACCATTGGTAACGAGTTAGCAGATAGATTGGCAGAGGCTGCCACTGTAAATCAAATTATTGATTTTGAAGCAAAGACTTCCTTTGACAGTTTGAAATCCTTGTTGAAAAGAAAAAGTTTGACTCTATGGCAAGCAAAGTAGAATGACCCAGATTCTAAAGGAAGATTCACATATAATTTAATCTCAACTATAAGTGAGAGAAGATGCCTAAGTGGCAAGTATCTATGAAATGAAATAAACTAAGCTTTAACTAATCATGGACACTTTCCCTTTTATTATAATAGGTTTTCGATAAAAAATTATGCCTGTCCATGTGGCATGAGTAATGTCGATATTGAGCACCTGTTGTTTAGATGCTCTTCTATGAAAAATATTGTCCTAAAATTTATTCCAGGTATTGCTAAATTTAATACTCTAAAGGATTTAAGTAAAAATACAGTGACTAAATTGAAATTGTCAAATTTCATAAAATATGTATCTGTAAATAAAATGAATTTATATATTGATTGTGTTTAAAATTTCCCTGTATGTTTTAAGGAAAACTAGGATGTTTATGATATACTGTTATTGTATTTCTTTGTATATGTAAGTAACATATTTTTATGCATGTAAGTAACATGTGTTATATTTTACAAAGTATGTAATAATGTGCTTTTGTTGGTGCTGGTAAATTTCACCAGCTGCTAGACTTTAAGTTCATATTTTAATTATTCTGTTTAAAGTTATTTCAGGTAGTATGGTGGTAGTTCTACTGCTTAATGGGCCTGATTTAGGCCTTGTTTTAGATCTCAATGTTTCTTTAATTAAATAGCTCCACTAAGCCCTGTTAAGCCTCTAATGGCGGTACAGGAAGTTCGACCAGTCATATATTAGTATCCAGAAAAAAAGCTATCAGATCAAACATTTAAAAAATATTCTTCACAATTGAAGCATTAATTAGTCGACCTCGTAACTGTTCTAAAAGTATGTAAAAACCTTCTGTATTTATTCTGCAATCAATATAATCTTGATTATGGCAATCAAGTGCCATTGCATATGGTACTCTTGACTCCCAATTGATAATCTAAATTGATCTTCCATTGACTTGATATCCACTGAGGCTCTTTAAAATTTCATTGACCCTCAGTGAATAAATACCAGCCCAATTGAGAACCCCTAATCTAACTAAAACTGAGTTATGGCAAATAGCATTTTCTGTAAAACTTGATTAAATGGGGAAACTGATTAAAATCATACTGGAAGGGTCTGAAGCTTAATAACTAATAAAACTGAATTCAAGTATTAGATAAAAAAACATACTGAGTTTTAGCATTTCCCATAATTTTGCACAAAAGAACCTGTAGTTTGGAAAGTGTGTCTAAAATCATTTTTAGCTATGATTTCATGTGACTAATTTCTTAATAATTTTGTGTTGCTTTCACATTAAGGGAGAGATATTTTTTCATCAAGTCATGATTAATGTTGGAATTTGGGTTAAATGTTTTATTTCAAGAAAGAACTATGATTCATTCAATTCAGTTATTCATTTTCTTTAATGCCAGCTGTCATTTGATGTCATAAGAAGCAAAATAAAAAAATACTCATTTCTTTTATAGAATTACATAGTACAGTACAAAGTCTGAAATCTGGACTCATAGGGACTTCAGCGATTCCCGATTTGGGATTTTTCCGGGTATTAGATCATCAGTTTAAATCTAGTAAGATGACATGCAGAAATTATAAAATTAAAAATATGAAATCATGATTTATGAAATAATGAAGTATTTATGATCTAAAGAGTATCAAAATTTACAAAAAAAAAAAAAAAAAAAGCTGAATATTTATTTGTTTACCTTATTAAACATTTCTTTCAATGTAAGTTAAGTTGCTTCATTTTTTTGTGATAATACTTTCTTTTTACTTCTGTAGACAGACATAATCTCTTGTTCAGTTACATTGTTGAAGCCTTGTAACTGCTATTTCGCGAATTCCGATTAACTTGTCAATCGAAATTTTCTCGTTTTCAGTAACTTCTCTGTCACTTTCTTCACTAACAGTAGAGGTATTTTATGGATCTAGAACCATACTACAAATTTCACCATTCATTAATTGATTAATGATTAAGAAACATTGTCATCACAATGGAAAACTTCTTTTATATCATCTTCATTTATTATCGCTTCTCCACGTTTCTTTACAAAATCCATTAATTGGAAAATTCACTTTTGGTTTGCGATATCCGAAAACCTTTAAAATTAGCGGCTATCACCATCAAATTTAGCTATCCTTCACTATACATATTTGGCTATGCATCATGAGCTTGGCGACTAACGAAAAGTTGTTCCATTAAATTTTATCTAGCTTCTATCGCGCAGAGACAATTAAGCCTGAGTTGTATTAGTTTACTTATTTATTATACTTATGTCTATTTCTTGCATATGCTTAAGACTGATCAGAGTTCTGAATAAATAAATTTCCATATATACTTGAGCCTTATTGAGGGCTGGCACAAGTTGTCATATTTTGATAAACATGCTGTGATGAAAGGAAAGTATGATAAATAATTATTTTCCAGGTTCGCGTCAGATAAACGATGTATCTATGTGGAATGTTTCAGTTTGAGATATGTGTCAAGCAGATACGCAGCAATGGATCCAACTTACTAATCCTACAAATTTATGCTAAAATGACTGTTTCTTCAATAACAAGGTATTTTATTTAGTGTTGAAGTGAAATTAATAATCTGGACTCTCCAGATGTTTTATTATGTGTGGAGGGGGAATCAAATATGCATGCATAAAGCCTACGAGAAAAAATGTTGGTGGTTTTGAGGTCTGGATTTTGGATCATTCCGGATAATGGACATCCGGATTTCGGACTTTGTACTGTAATATTTAAACATGAGTGAATATAAATTTCATGTATATAATAGTCTCAGATAATGCAATTCTAAATTAAATTTTCTATTTGCTTTTTGTATTTTGCCATACTGTTTATTAAAAGGGGAATGGCACATGTGTATTCTCCTCAGTTAATAATAATGGAGATAGGCTTCAGTTGTATTAACTGCAAAATTGGCAGTTTAATACTTTTATGGAAACTGTTTAAGTAACTGTGAATACTCAGATTTGTTTATTGTTTTAATTTTATGTTTGTGTGTGCATAATTTGTTTTTTAAGTAATTTAAAGGTATTTTTCATCTGAGAAATAGCATTATATGCCTTTATTTTTTCCATATCTAGTTTTGGAAATCCATATTGGGATGAATTGACCATTTTAGCACCATTATATCAATGTTGCAGGTAATTTTTTTAAATTGTTTATAAAATATAATTTTTTGAATTGCTTTAACTATGGAGGAATAATCTATTGTCATTTATACTATTTATGTGGAGTTATTTATATAACGAGACATTTGTCTTAATTAAAGGAGACATTTGTTTTTATGGTGAATTTGGTATTCAAAAAATGAAAAAGACTCAACTTTTGCCGGCATTTATCTGAAATAATTTATTTTAATTATTAAAATTTCAATTTAAACAACAGTAAATGAAGGAACAGGAAAAGAAAAATTATTTATGAGGGAGTTGTGATGGTTACAAAGTCTTAAATAACTATGTTATTTTAATATTGGCAGTTTGTTTAGCAATAAAACGTCAGAATACAAATTTTATAATAATCTTTATAATGCATGAATAAGATGTATTGCTTAATGAAATCATATTGTCATTTAGAAGATATTCCATTGTCTCTTTTTAAAAGTTTTGTAGAGATATTAGGTATTTTTTTTTTTTTAAAGCAAGAAAAGTGAAAATGAGCAGTGCTCTCACCAGGACTTGACCCACGGACTCTAAATATTTGGGCACTGGCTCTAAATATTTGGGCTAAACCATTAAAAACAAGTACAGTCAAAAGTCGTTAATCCGGACTTGTCGGGACTTCGGCGATTCCGGTATATCGATTTTTCCGGATTATAGATCATCAGTTTAAATCTGGTAAGATGGCATGCAGAAATTACAAAATTAAAAATATGAAACCGTAATTTATGAAATAAAGAACAATTATGATCTAAAGAGTATCAAAATTTACAAAAAGAAAAAGCTTAATATTTATTTGTTTACTTTATTAAACATTTCTTTCAATGTAAGTTGTTTAAGTTGTTTCGTTTCATGTGATAATACTTTCTCTTTAATTCTATTAAACAGACATAATTTCTTGTTTAGTTACAAAGTTCCGCTGTTCAAGTCCTGTAATTGCTGTGTTGAGAATGCCGACTAATTTGTCAATCGAAATATTTTTGTTTTCAATAACCTCTCTGTCACTTTCTTCACTATCGGAAGCGAATTATAATGACGAGGAACTTGATTTAAATAATATCAAAGACGGAGTACATCGAAATGAAATACTACATTTAGTAAGAAATTATAAGCCAAATAAAATAAAAACATCTGCCCTGAAGATAAGGATAGTGCTGACAGATGAACTTCCAATTCATTGGCAGTTCTCCCCCCCCCTTCCGCAGAGCAGCGTGAAATTGATAAACAGATTTCGGATTTCAAAACATACTTTCGCTTTGTAGATCCTTTCCATATTAGTAAATATATATCGGAAATTCTATTTGGCATAATCAAAAGTTCAAGCTTACTTTTTTAAAATTGCTCTAACAGTCTGAAAAAAATAATAAGCCAGATCCAATTCGAAGATTAAGGAACAACGCAATCTGCAACATTAACTGAATTAGATAATTTTAGCTTAGCTTATACCGTCCGTTATACATTAAACACGCATGCGTAAACGTATTAAGCGCTTGCGCACACGCATATTCGCAGCCGTAAAGGTCTTATGCGCACGCATGAATGCCTATGCGCATGCGTCAACGCGACGCATGCGCAGAAAGTTTGTAGCTTTGAGGTCCGGATTATAGATCATTCCAGATTATGGGTGTCCGAATTAACGACTTTTGACTGTACTAGGTTCATTTTCAAATTTTGTTTACATATGCTGTCCCAGAAAAAAAGAAAGAAAATTTGAATAAATTAGTATTTAAAGTTTAACTTGAGCAATGCATTGCATGAAGATAGCTCTAAATATGTTCCTACATTTAAAATATAAAAAAATCGATTGAAATTTTTAAGATGTAAATTTAGCAAATCAATAAAAATAATTTGTCTTCCACTTCATGTCAAGTCCATTACCTTGAGATTATTTTATCCACAATTAGTTTATAAATCTGCCTAAAGGAGGCAGAATATATTCATAGTAGTCAAGCTTATCATGACTAGTTTATCTATGTCACTAAATGTGTACTGCCCCTTTGAAAAAAATAAACATTGGTTCTTTTAACTTCATCTATATATTAAAACTAAGAAATGAAGGAAATATGAACTGCTTTAATATTTAATGATGAACATTATATAAATAAAATGTTATTTGTATTAATCTGTTTAGCAAAATAATTTAATAATTTAATTATTATGTTAGATAATTAAAATTATCATTTTTTGAAACTTTAAATTATTGATTTTAGAAATACGTAACAAAAATAACACAGCAAAATTTTCGTTTTTATCTCCTCCACTGTAAACTGTTCAGCATTAAAATTTCAGGTTAGATCCATAGTAAACATTTTTTTAACCTCCTCATCTTTACCTAGCATTATTGTAATAATCAGGGCTAAAATATAAGAAAATGTGAATTTTGTATATATTACTTTGTTGTTCTCAATTTTTGCTTTTTGATTGGAATTTGTTGCAAAAATAATGTTTCATTAATAATAGTTTATATAAATACTTAAATGCTATTCTTTGTAGATATAGTTCACTGTTGCATGTGATAATAATTCAGGGTGATTTGTTTTAGAAGTTTAAAATGTTTTTGACAACTGGATTGATTTAATTTTTTTAGAACATTTTATCATAAAAACTAGAAAATTGCTTTCTTGAGTTGTTTTCATATTAAAAGTATAAAACATCACTTTTACTTTTAATCTTAGAATTCGGAAGAAAACATATGAGCGACTGTGGGCCTTCGTTGGTCATCTTGGACAGTCTCTCAGAAATATTCTGGAGTTGGATCAATTAAGCCCTGTTTTGGCATCGCCTCATTATGAATCTCTCGATCGAAGATTAAGAACAATTCTAGCTACTATTGAAGTTTGTGTTGAAGAAAATGGAGAAGAAAAAGTCTTGCTGGATACTTTATAGTTATGTGCAATACATGGCCGAAGAAGAAGTATCTTTAATATCATCAAAGAAGCAAATGTCGAAATTTTTTGCAAGATCTTGGGAGTAGTAGTTAGGTATTCATATACATGTAAATGCATATACTGCAGTATTAATGAAAGGATTCCAATTGAAAGGAATCACCTGTCATTTTTCTAAATTAACAAGTAAGGTGCTTCAGATAAACTAATCTTTATTAATGGATCAAATTTTTATGTGAATCTGGATTTTTCTTCTGAATGCAATAGTGCCAAAACAGTTGAATTTCCAGAAACTTTAAGCTTCACTATGTTAGAAAATAATCTTACTTAAAAATACATTTTATTCTGTATTGTAACTAACATTGATTTTGAATGAAGAAATGCTAAGTGCATCCTTCTCGAATCTTCGAGATGTCTCCTACATATCAAATGTGGTTTCATAGCCCAAAATTATTTTTTTAAGTGCTAAAGTTTATTTATATAAATGTAGACTAGTTCTGATTTTATAATTAATTTAAATTATTTCAGTGATATTTGATTTTAATAATGCGAGGAAAGGAATATTATTCTACAAAGTTGTTAATTATACTGAAAATAAAAGATTAAATTTAAAATGAACATTCTAAATATCTTGAGAGTCCATTTAAAATAAACATTCTAAATATCTTGAGAGCCCTTGTGAACAGAAAATTATTCTTTGTGCGATTCAAAACTATATGTTAAAAAAAAAAATTCTTTACTAAAAATTTAATTTTTTATGGTCACATTTAAATTTCAGTTTGAAGTTATTTTTATTTGCTTGTTTTTGTGTGCTACGCTATTATGACTTATTGTGTTGTTCAAATACAGTTCATGATACAGCACTGTTTGGCTGAGTCCATTTTTATTCATTAGAAGAGAGTTAAGTGTTGTTTGAATTTCATTATCCATCAAAAATGCTTTGTCCATAAAGAGTTAATGCGTAGTATGAATACTTACCTAAAATACTTACAGAAGGATTGTTAATAAGAAACATGAAACAAATTTATATAGGAAACTGGAATTGAATTTTTACTAATAAACAACTGATAGTATGAAATTAAATGTATATTCTGAATTACGATATAATGTTATCCATAAAGAATGTTTTTAAGTTTTAAAATTTATTTCATAGCAAGCTCATTCAATTTAATTGATAAAAAAATTTAATAATGTATTTTTCTGTTTTTCATGCAGTCTGAAGACATCAACAAATCTGTTGTACTGTTCATATATTAAAAAATGTTCTTGATTAATTTTAAAATCACAATCTGTTCTTGTTTGTTTCTTTTCATGGCTGCAATGATTTTATCTTGTGTGTGATATAAAACTTGGTTGAATTCAATCATGGAATTGTTGCAAAATTTTGTCCTTTTTATTTTACAATATAACATAATTATAAGGTAAATGAAATAATGTTTTGAATTTCAATATTTCTAGTCAGTTAATATACATTTAATTGAAATGTATTAAAAATCATTAATACTTTCTCTATTTGAGGTAGATAAAACCATGAGATTTGAATGGCTTGTCTTTCTATTGATTTGTCAATGCATTTAAATATATTCAAAAATCTTATTTTCTATTAAAATTAGTGTTTTTGTATTGTAATGTTTACATGTTAATAATCAGTGTTATGAATTTTTATACTATTTTATTTATTTGCCAGATGTGCTAGTTTTTTGTAAATATGACTGTTCATTCCACTTTTATATCTTGTAGCAATTGTTATATTTATTAAATGTTTTGTTTTGAAGTCTTAGTGAAGTAGACATCATTTTTAAATACATACAAAACACTTTTTGATAACTTTACTTATACAATAGGTTATAGTTATTCAGTTTGTGAATCAAAATGAAGGGAGAGACTACTTCATTTTGCAAGAACAAAAACATTATAAATGATAATCAAATCCCATTTAAATGAATCCAGGCTTAATGGTTTTCAAAATTTAAGGAAGTTTCTTCTGTCTTCTCAAAAGTAAAAAAAAAAAAAAAAAAAAAAAAAAAAAAAAAAAAAACTTTAAAATTATGTATTAATTTAACCCTTTGAGCAGTGCAGAATTTTAGATCCGTGATGAAGACTGGTATTTAAACAGCATTTATTAATTGAGTTTGTATAATTGCTTATTTTAGCTGTATTTTCGTAAACTTACATTCATTAAGATGATATTTACATTATTAAAGAAAGTACGAAAACAAAATATCTTAAATTTTAAGCCAATATATGCCAAGTAGCAAAACTTCTGATGACCAGATAAAGCCAGTCATAATGTTCAGAGAGTTAAAAAACTGACAGAAATTTAGAAATATTTTTTGTCTTGGGCTTTTTTAAATGTTTTATTGAAAATGAAAATCATCTAGTAGTCATCTTTAAAATGAAGATGAGCTTTCAGTCCTGTTTAATAAGATTTATATTTGAGGTAGAAAGTCTGGTTCCTAGTCTTCTGTATAGATTACTATAATGATAGTAAAGAAAGAAATACTTTGATGTGCATAGTGAAGAATGAATACAAAAAATCCCATTTGTGGATACTATTTCTGATCTATTATAATATATGAGTGTTATCACATAAGTGCTAGGGCATGAGGCTATAACTTGATTCAAGAGATATACCTTTGTGAAGCTATATCTTAATTTAATAGATGTACCTTTTAATAAATTTTTATTTAAAAGTTATGTTTCTGATAAATAAATCATTTGTGGTTTAAATTTTTGAAGAGTTCAGGAACTAAAACATTAGGAATCCTTATAAAGTGACAATTTGCAATTTCTATGGGAAGGGGGTTAAAAAAATCAAAACGGCTCATTAAAAAATGTAAAATAAATATTGTATTGTTAAGCTGACTACTAGTAAATGTTGTATTTTCAGTACAGAAAAGAAACTGCTAATATAAAATTAGATCCCCTCAAAAATCTGAAAGCTGTCGAATTTTATATTACACCCAAAGGGGTGTTTTTTCATTTACACATACATACACATTTCAAGAGCATTTTGGGCTAAAAATACTTAAAAACAGCACATCTTTAGAATTTCTGACAGACAGTCTCATGCGCTACAAATGCTGGTAGTCATCTAACAGATGGTACAGCAACTCAACTGGTGCTAAGTAAGTAAGTTGCCACTGCTCGCTTTGAAATTTTTGAGTTTCTTGATAAAAAATTCATTAAAGTTTTACAAAATATGAAATAAACAATAAAAAAAAATTCCGAATTTGGACTTCCTGGTGGTCATGTTTGAGTGGTGGACTATGTTATTCAAAATTTGATCACTCTAGGTACTGTTGTATTTTCACAATGTAAGAAACATGCATACATTCATGCAGATTCTTCATTATTTAATTTCTTTAAATATAAAACAGGCCAATATTATTTCGTCACAACAATTTGAAAAGTGATACAGCCGTTTATAGCGATTTGAATCCAAATGCCATTTCGACATTAATAGCCCTTCTGGGCTAATGCCCCTTCGGGCTGAAATGATTGCAATTTGAAAACTTTCAGTTGTGGTTTGATATCTCGAAAGATGAGTTTTAAAAAGTTAAAAAAGATACTTAAAATTTTTTTTAAATGTTAAAATGAACAGGTCATAAAAGCAAAAGCAAATGACAGATGAAAAAAATTGCTACTATATTATTTCATTGCAAATTAATTCCATGTAATAAATTAATTCTATGTAAAGACTTATTTAATAAAGGCAATTTATTTTTTAAATTCATAAAGCATTTATTGAATAAAGAAAAGATTTAATTATTCAAGATAAAGCAGTGCATTTATTTAGAGTATTTATAGAGATTCCCTTTGAGTATATAAAAAAAAAAACAACTTTGACTTAGATATTGTATGAGACTGTCAATTGTAGGGTGAGTGGCATATATTCAATAGTAAATAAATTAGGCATTTTTTACATGATTAGTTACAAAAAATCTTAAAATTTGCTGCCAGAGGCATATTATCAAATCTGAATTTTAATTCAGAGAATCAAACAATGGAATTCATTAAAACGTTTTTGAAGTGTTTAATTTGCTTCATAGCATTGTAAAAATTATATGAAATAAAGTCATTGTCTAGATTTTAACTTGTAAATGGTAGTGTATTGGAAAAAAGTACTGGTAAGTCAAATACAAGTGAAGAGGACATAGAATGAGTTTGTCAGAGTTTCTAACCAAGTCCAGAAGTACTGGTTAGGGCTATAGAGTTATCACTTGCAAGGATTGCTATGAATTCTCTTGAGCAGTTTTATGAAATTCATAACAATTTTTGTAAATTGCTACTCTCATATTGAGGGGATAAATGGTGGCTTTTTTATGTATTTTGCATGGAAATTTCTTTTGACTTGTATATTTGACTTTATTCTGTATGAACCATCTCAAATATGCTGACCTTTTCCTGCAATGACATGCATTTTATAAAAGCATTGATTAAGAAAAAGGGGGAAGGATGGAATAATTTCAGTAAACAGTGATTTTTGATTCAAATCTTTCAAATTAATGTTTACAATATAAATATGAAACATCATTGCTTAACATGTCCAGACTTTCATTTGATATATTATTATTCCAATTTCATCAATTGTGTTAACCAGTCGGAAGAAAAACAGGTAAGATGTATATTTCCAGAGGAATGTGCTGTGAAGGAGTGTATTATTATGACATCCTGACATTTTCAGTCTGCTATCTTAGACCTTGAAAGAATCAATTCAGCTGTGTTTTCTGTTACATTTCAAGCATTCTGTAGTGACCCTTCTGATCACATATAGAGATACTGAGGTGATTTAAGGAATTTTACCATGGTTTGGAGGGAAGAACTTAATAGAAGCTGCTCATTTCACAAGTAAGAATAAACAGATTCTTTTAGTTTTGAAACTGAGATCTGATTTAAAAATACAGCATGTTTAGAAACTATAGTTAATTTTAATATATTTTCTAAATAACGATAACATACTTGTCTGTTTTTAGGGTTATACACTTTCTCTGTCTCTTTTTTTTTTCTTTTTAAGCTTTTCCTATAAACAAATTTTGCTGCCTTTTTTTAATACAATATCATTAAATATCTGTACAGAAAAATCCAAGAAAGTAATTCTATATTTCAATTTTTAGAGGCTAATTATTGTTCCTAAAAATGCTACTGAATTAGAGAAAAATGGCATTTTTTTTTTTTTTTTTTTTAGTTTTTTAAAAATCAATATGGGACTTTAAAATTGTAGCATGATAATTGCTGAAAGAAAATAGTTGAATTATGAAAAGTGTAAAATAAATGTTCTTTTCTATTTTTCTTAGATGTTGGTTTTCCTTCAGCTTAATTCTTTGTGGAGTCAGGCTGTGTGCGGAAAAACATTTATACCTGCGTAATTGTTTGGGTTATTTTCAAATACTTTTCAGAAGATTGATTTGCAAAAAGAAGACCAAGAGACAAGACAGAAATTTAGGAAAAGTTTTTGTTCTATTCATTTTCAATTTTCCAAGACATTTAGTTTAACAGAAATTTAGTTTCACAGACATTTAGTTTAACAAAAAGGAAAGGTAAAAAAAAAAAAAAAAAAAAAGATCTTACAAGCAGTCAAATTATGCTAGATGTTTTAACTGACAGGTAATCTGTTTTTCTGATAGTGTTTACTATTAGTTATATTTTAATTTATAAAATAAATAGATCTTATTAATTTTAAACACAGTGAACAAAATGTAATCACTATGGTACCACTGTAATCAGTTAACCTGTAAGATATGTAAGGTTGAGGGTAATTATTGCATTCTGAAAATGCAAGCATATTTTATTGTCGATCGGTTCATATTAAAAATTATCCTTGAAATCCAGTCATGCAGTGGAGTAGCGAGCATAACTGGCGCCCGGGGCAAAATACCGTTTTGCTCCCCCCTCGAAAAAAAAAACAGTGATATGATGAAAATCTGGTTTGGAGACCATTTGGCACCCATCTGCAAGCGGCGCCCGAGGCATCGTACACCCCCTTGTCCCCCTCGCTACGCCACTGCAATCATGTCAGGATTTTGTTAATAAGACAGTGCATTGTGCAATATATTCTCATGTTGGATTCCCCCATTAGAAACTGGCATAGATAATTTTTTTTCCTCCTTTTTTAGTTCTTCACCATTTTCTGTGGTAATGGAGTGATGGTCTTTGCTCTAATGTACTCTAATGGGCCGATTCTGTGTCAGGATTGGTAACTGAGTGGTTTGCATTTGGTTAAGTTGCATATTACTGCATATAGAACTAAAACACATACTTTATTATAAAACTACAAGAAGCTCTATTAACAAGTTATTTCAACAACTATTGACAATTAAAAAAACATTTAATAACTAATTTTAATTGTATTTCTTTCAAGACTTTGAAAGGTTAGTTCAAATATTTTTGCTTTTTCAGTCTCTCTCTATATATATCAAATCAATGAAATGAAAGTAACTCTGATTAATAGTGCAAATTTAGCCAAAAACTATTAACAAGAGTTATTTTCATTTCATTAATTTGATTATTAATTAAATTTTTGCAGCCAAGGTGCTGGATTTTAAAAATAGTCCTACTTTCCATTTTGTTTATGTTATATTTATATGCAAGATAAAAAATATGAAAGCAAACTTCTAAATTTAATTGGCCATAACCACTAGCCTTATCTGTCCTCAGAGAGTGTAACTAGAAACACCAGTATGCCTGGTCAATTTTTGTGTTAAGGTTGGGACTTTTGCACTGAAGAATAAGCTTTTGAGTGTTTTTAAACAGAATGCTCGCCACTTGGGCATCGAATGAATAGTTCGGGTAATAATATATGAGTAAATGTGCAAAACACAATAAAAAGGCATATTTTGAGAAATATTAAACTTATAAATGAAAACTGTGAACTTCATGATTGCATGATTCATGTAATGTTCAAATTTTATTTAAAATAATTATTTGAAACAAGTGTCATAGTTTCCATGCTACGGTAATGTTTGTTCCCTTCCCTCCCATTTTCCCTTCTTGGCATTGAGAGGATTTCACACCTTTTACTTGCTTGGTCTATTTTAATGCTTTCAGACATTTTAGTGTTCTAGCTGAGAATTGTTATGACACACTTGTATATAATTGCTGTAAAAAATAAAGGAGGGGGGAAGGGGAAATCTTAGAGAAAAGTAATGAAGTCATTATAATTATATATATAGCTATTTGTTAATTTATACATTTTGTTGTTTATTTGTTAATTATTAATTTTGTTGTTTATTTGTTAATTATTATTTTTGTTTGTTTATTTGTTAATTATTTATTAATATTTATAAATTAACAGCTAAAAATATATTTTCATAAACAGTATGTAGCAAAACAAAAGCTTCCAAACATTTCATGATTTACCAAAAAATATCTTTCTGAGACTCACATTTTGAATATCAATTGGCTATTTCTTATAAGGCCTTTGCCCTATTCAATGAGAGCTGGTGTTATATTGACACTTAACAAAGTCCATATTAGATGTTTGGCAAATCAAGCAATAACGTCTATTGGAATTTCGTTCTCTAAATGAAATAGAATGAATTAGTCTCATAAATCTTAAAACTTCTTGTAATGAAAAACATGATGCAGTGCTGCTTAGAGATGTATTAATTGATATAATGAAAGTTATCATACTTTAATTAAAAAAGATGTCTTTAATCATCTTTGTATTAGTACAAAACACTGTGTTAATATTATATCATATACTGTTACAATTCTCATTTTGCAAATGCTATGAGTAGACAAAGAAACAAATAAAAATAATAAATATACTTTTCCATATGTACAACACACAGTTTTCAGAAAAAATAATGCACTGAGAAATTTCAAATAATATCTGTAATCATACTATACTGTTATTTTCCTTGGAGTTTACAGCAGATTGTGGACTTGATTTAATTCACATAGGATTAGTAGTTTGCTGTTCACATACAGTTGAAAAACTGCATGATTCTTATTTTGAAATGCATAAGTATCACAATCCCTACATTTCAATTTAAAGGATGTATTTACACTATAGCAGTAGTTGATATGTACATATTATACTGATATACCATACTTAAATGAGGTCCATTTAAGAGAAGGACACTTAAGAAATCCTGAGAATGGGTTCCACACAAAGTTATGAACAGTGACAAAAGAAGGAGACGTAGTAAAAGCTTCAGAAAATTTCTAACAGTTGTGCTAACAAGAAATATAATAATCTGTTAAGCAAACAGAAATTGAATACCAGAGAAAATAAATTAGAAAATTGTATGTAAATGATTTAAACATACAGAAAATTGAGATTATTGTTCCTGAGTAGATGGGTTGTGCATGCTGTGAAGAAAACGTCATACTAAAACTTCAGATTTTAAATTTGAAAAGTAACGAATCAGACTGCAATTGTATGAAAGAACACACTGATGTAGTTAAAATAGCCTTCAACTCAGTTTTCAAGTCTTAATAGAGATTCTGTTATAAAAAAAAAAAGCTCAGTAATAAGTCTTACGAACTTGTTCTGAAGGATCTGTAATTTCTTTAAACCAGCTTTCTTGGAGTTTTGAGATAGGTGGTTAAATACAGGCCTGATTAATATCCAAAGAAAGCTCGAAAAAATTCCATGTGCTTTGCCTCTCAATTTATGGGTATAAAAAGTCCAGTTGAAGCTTATATTAGCTGAGTTAAGCCAAATATTTTGTTTCCCAAGTATTTATTAGTTCTGTGTATTTCAGTGATTTGCTTAACAAAAAGTGTGTCAGGTTACCAGTGTTATCTCCGAGTGGATACTTTGCAGGATTAGTTGGAATTAGTCAAGATTGGTGTATATTTTCCATTTTCTGTTCCTGCCTTCAGTGAAGGAGAATTTTTCTTGCATTCAAGCGATGGCATAGCTTGGATGCAGCAAGCAATGGCAGTATTTCTATGGTCTTTTTCATTTGCCTATAATTACCATGTTATCTACATAACATACTAAAGAAAAGGGTTGTGATCTAATGAGAAATTTATGAAGTCATGCACAAATATAAGGCCAGCCCCTAAGATACAGATATGTGGCACTTCTGCTTTAATTGACTGAAAATTCTTATTGACTAGACCTTGAATACTTATAAGTGCCCTTTTATCAAGAGAAGACTGAAGTATGTGAATGATTTCTATACTGAAATCCATTTTTATGAACATTGTAGATGAGCTTCTCATGTCAGACTCAATCAAAAGCTTGCAGCTGATATCACAGTTATCAGTCATAAAAAACACTCATGCTAACAAAATCTGGGGAATTAAGATCCATCTCTAATCATTCATCGAAGAGTAATATATTAGATTTCCATGTAAATCTATATTGCATTTATTTTGTGATTCTTAGAATTGCACTTTTTTATGTTCAATCACTTTTTATTAACAGTAAAATATGAGTAGACGAAAATTATTAGCAGACTATATTTCGTATAATAAAAATAGTGTATCAAAACTTCTGGAGTCTCTTCATTAACCAGTCATTGCTGAAGAGATGCTACGAATACTTTTGTAACAGATATTTTTAATTTGCTTTTATTCACTGTGCCAAAATGGTTAATGGTGAAGGGGTCAAAATATAGGAATATTCTTATTTTTTGTTTTGCATAGCTTCTAAATGTATATATGTATGTTCTTGATATCAGTGGTCTGAATAAATCATTTCTGGGGGAGGTGTAATTCACTATGTAACATTCCTTTTGCTTCCCGTATCTGCTTTATTCTTGTTTACATAAGTTATAGCTAAATGGCAGTATTTCTATTGTTGAAATAATATAATGACTTTATATTGTTGAAATAATATAATGAAATTTAAATTATTGCAGTGACTAGTGATAATGATGTAAGTACTGATACTGAAAGACATTTAGGGATCTGTGAGAAAATGATGTTGAAAAAAGAAAGAAAGTTGATAGCATAGGTATAGCAGGAAGTTGAAAAGGTCATTGATAAAATGATTCTAAAAACAAAATTATTTTATTCTTTGTTAATTGGCAAAAAACTAAAACCAAATGAAATTTAAAAGCCAGATGGAAAATATTATTCATTGGAAACTGTAAAAACCAAAGCTTACATCATTGTTACTGCCACATTTTAATATGTAATTGAACATTCCTGCAGTTATTGACACTGACATGAACACAAGAAGTATAGGTACATCTTTTTATTATAGTGTAATATTAAAAATTATTAATTGCTGGGAGTGTTGATTTAAACTATTAATTGCTGGGAGTGTTGATTTAAACTATTAATTTCTGGGAGTATTGCTTTCTTAATTATAATTGATGATGTACTACAATTACATCACTGTTCCATTAATAATTATTACTTATTGATTGTAATTACATATCATCATATACAATATTATTAACATTTACATGTTGATAAATTACATATCTGTGACACTTCACAGATGTATTCATTGCAATTGATCAAGACTGATGATTGATTAAAAGCAGATTAATTTCCTATGACTAAAGCAGCTGATTTATGCATATTTATTTGCCAAGATGCCACCCAGTATTATTACATTATAATGCTGCATATTAATATATCAAGCAGGCAGGCAGACATTGCCTACTTAAATAAGGGCAAATCCTACATTTTATATTAACTCTTAGAAGCCTAAAACTAAAAAGGCTAACTAAAAGATGAAAAATAAATTACTAGGGAAGGTAATATTTTTAGTAGTATTAGAATGTAAATTCATCATGTGTAATTTTATAATCTATTTGTAATAATTTTATTCCTTTTTTTATAGTTTTTGGGAAAATGAAGTGATAAATTAGTATATAAAAATGAAATGCATGCAATGCTTAATTTTAATATCTATTTCTGATGGTTATTTTTTAAATTATATATATATATACTCGCATGCATATGTACAAAACATTTAACAACAGTTGGGCACTGATGTCACATACAAAATTTTTAAATGGCTCTTTATATATACCAGCACTCAGCCAGTGTTATGAGATGTGTTGTCCTCAATTAATAAACATCTATAACTAATAGCACCTTTGCAAGACCTACCAGCATCCCAGTGGGATTATATAGGAACATTTGATTAGTGGCCTTTTACATAAAATAGTTGAACAGTCCTATCTCAGGTAGTAATATGCTTATCTGAAAGTGATGTTACATATTTCACTTTGATTGGTCAGAATAGGAGGCATAAGGCATAAAATGGAACACCTATGCATCAGACTTTGTCCTTCAAAAAGGGGATTAACACCAAATCATCATCTAGCAGTCAGCTTTGAAATTTATCCCATGTACTATTTAATGCCATAGTGTAAACACAGCCTTTTTATATATATGAATAGCTGAATGCTATTTGCAATCTCAGAGTCCAACAGTTTCTTTGCACAAATGCATCAGGCATACTTCATTTAGCATCTGTTTATGTAACACACATGTTTTAAGTCTGTGTCTGAAAATTTGTCCAAGATATCTTGCTATATGAGTGTTATGTTGCATGTTTGCTCTCCAAAGTTTTGCTGCATTCTGTTGACTTTCTTCTTTCTGGAAACCATATTTGTTCTAGTTTGAGGAATGGTGCTTCGAATGCAAGATGAAATATGATCGATAGTCCTAATGTTATCATCAATATTCCTAGAAATTCAGTTACCTGTCAAAGAAAAATAAATTAAAATTTGTATTCCTCTAAGTTGAAATTTGATATCACTAATGTCTCAAAAGAAGAAATTTGAGATTATATTCAAGGGAATAATTATATGCTATAATAATTGAATAACTGTATCTTGAAAAGTAGTAAATTGTAAGCAATATCTTACTAGCATTAATTGCAGCATCTGAGGAAACAGGATTTCTTCAGAATTATATTAAAGAATTTTCATGTTTAGAGCAAACTCATTTTATAAAATGCTGAACTTATAAGATTAAAAACTTTCAAGCAAATACTTTGAAGGATCCAAAATAAATAAATCGATAGAATACAAACAAATTTTTAAGGGAGTAGAAGTTAAAAGAATGCATGATTATTTTAAAAATATCTGCTTAATCTGAAAAAATACATTTTCAATCTGAATTTATATTTATGCAAGATGAAAGTTTGAAGTTCCTGTTTGTCACTAGGAAGGGATGCAGTTTCAAAATTTTACTGAATACCATTTCTTTATAAACATGCTGATTCGTATGCCACTTTGTTTTAGCTCACTTATTATTTTAAGATGCTGTTTATTGTAATCTGCTTGGTTAGGTAGACTAACCAACCTTCATTGTAGATCTAGGTGGACTTCAACCTCCTTGTTTGAAGTTAGTCTAGCATAGATGTAGGTTAGCACAGACTATTCTAACTTCTTTGTTTTAAATTAAGATTTTAAGCATGTAATAGCAATTTGATGATAATTCATCAACAGCAATCTGGCATATGGTGCAATATTCTGCAATATTTTGTGTCTTTGAGTAAAATATTGTTGATTTGAAGTAGAATATTCTTCTTTTAATTAAATGGGTGCACAGAAAGTACATCTTAAAAATAAATGGATAAAATAAAATAAAGTTATTGTGAGATTTCAAATTGTGTACATTCATTTGAAACAGCATGCATAATTGTGTTAAATGATATTGGAATCAAATATCAGTGGTAGCTATGATGATTCATTAAGACATGCAGTTCCGTGTAACCTTCCCCTATAAATAGCAACAACAACAACAACAAAAAAAAAAAAAAAAAAAAAAAAAAAAAAAAAAAACCTGCAATTAATTAATGATCAATTGAGTTAATAGGTAATTCTCTAAGCTTTCGTAAGTATACAGTTTCGAATATTTAACAAATGTAAGAGAATAAAGCATTAATTAATAAAGTATCTCAAATTGCTGTGTAACATAACATTAAGCAGAAATGGAAGCTAAGCAGAATAAAAAAACAATATTGCCACCTCTTTGGACATAAGAATAAAGGATTTTTATTGCTCAGGAAAATGCAGAAGGTTTTGAAACATTCAAAAAGTGAAAAAGTCTTCTTTTGATACTGTGAAAAGTAAAAAAGTCTTCTTTTGATACTGTGAATTGAAAAATGGGTGTGAATGACAACAGGCACCTTTGGGAAAAGTGTTAGTAGGGGATATGCCCACCGTAGTGCGATGCAACTTTCCACACGTCGTGTCATGCATCTGTCCGCCGGTCATGCATCGTAACATTATCCAGCAGCTGTTCAAGCATCTGACCCTACTCCTCTGTTAGTGCACGGATGAAGGTTTTTCTTTCGTTGGAGGATATTTTCGACTAGCAAATCGCCTTTTCAGAGCATCCCATCATTTTCAGTGGGTTTTAGATCTGATGAACGGCTGGCCATACGAGGCATTGAATATTCTCGTTGTCTACACACTGCTGAACAGCAAATTTTCGATGACATTGTCATCCATGAAAAGAAATTTATAACTGAAAGCACCATGGAAAAGGCAAACATGAGTCATTAGGAATTCATGAATGTATCGTTGGCCAGTCATAGTTCCAGCTGTAACCACATATAGGAGTGTGCGGCCGTTGATCACAATGCTAGTCCGTACCATGATATTGCATCTGAAATATCGGTACCTTTCCTGGATAATTTCTGATTAGCAGTACCACTCTCATCTCAGATCAGCTGGCGTCTACAATCTAATAATAGATTGAAGTTACTCTCATCCGAGAATATTACGCAAGTCCAGTCGTGTTCAGTTCAACTGCGATGCTCGCGACACCATTGCAAATGGACAAGGGACACGCACAACAGATCTATAATATAATGCTTCTTCTCCCAAACATCTGGCTACAGTGTTTCGAGAGATCCAGTTGTCCTGTGACAAGAAAAAACTCATCCAAAAGTTTTGATCTCCTAAGCTTTGGTGCGCTGGTTTCTTTTTGCCGACTGAGCTGTGTGCCTGTCTCCTGCAGGCGTCGTACATCCACCATGACCTCCACCGTTACATTGGCTATACGTTCCAGTTGTTTTAAATATTTACAGCCATGAAGCAACACTGTGGGCGATATTGAACTCCCTGGCAACATCTGTTATTTTTTGCCTTCAATGATGCAGCTACGTGTAAAATCATGTAAGTGATGTCGGGAATACATATCGAAACTTTCAAGGTCGTCAGTCAGATCTTTTCCGTAAAACTTTTACTTGGTACAATAATTGTCGGCACGCGTCAAATCCTTTTAAACCTTTTGTCAGCGCTATCACCTGATGAACTGGCGGGGAAAGGAAAATTTGCATGTAGAGACATTAGGTTAATTGGAAAAGCCGGAGAGATGAAAAATGAGCAAACGCCTTCGCCAAGAATCGAACCGTGGACGTCTGGAATACCAGCCCAATGTGCAGAACCACTACACCACGAAGGCACACTAGGAAAGCGGAGAAATACCTTATATACTCCCCTTTTTAAAGGGCGCGACTAGGGTTTTAGGGAACCTAGTCGCCAGATCTTGGGTGTGGAGAATCATCATCCACAATCCTTTTAGTTCGGGCGTCACTGCAGAGACATTAGGTTAATTGGAAAAGCCGGAGAGATGAAAAATGAGCAAAGGCCTTCGTCGGGAATCGAACCACGGACCTCTGAAATACCGGCCCAGTGTGCAGAACCACTACACCACGAAGGCACACTAGGAAAATGGGAGAAATACCTTATATGCATACGATACATCTTACTGTGTTCCTCACTCATTACAATTTGCGTACTTTCATGTTGTGGTTGCTGATGGTGATAACGTTGTTCGTCCTTAGCAGTTGTCCAACAGTGTATTTGCGTAATTCATAATTAAGTTTTACATTTGCTAGAAAGCGATAAGACAGTTTGGGGCACCATTATTTCATACAGAGTTATTCAGTTCTGTTAATTTGAAATAAGAATTTAATATTTTGTAGGTACTCACATTATCTGTCATACAGTTAATCAAAAATTCATTTCTGTGCTTCAGAAGTTATACTTACTATATCGTAGTGGTGGAAATTCAATAAGGATCTTCTCCAGCTGACTCTAACCCATAGAACTGGGAAATGTAACAAATACACTGAATAACTAAGGCGACTCAGAGGGGCAAAAATTTGCCAGGATAGGAACTTGTTCAAAATACCTGAAAGAAATAGTAATTAGATATTTCAAAATGTCTCTAAACAATTTATTTTATTTACTAAGTGGAATAATAAGTCAGTGGAGATTCTCTCTCTCTCTCTTTTTTTTTTTTTTTTTTTCTTATCTTTTTTCTCTTTTTTTTCTAATGTTATACGAAATGTGACATGTAGTCTTATGCTACAGCTTTCAGGAAATGCTTCAAATTTCACTGCAATCATTTGTACTTCTTTATTTAAAGTCGTCGATCAGTTTCCTAAATTTATTTTGTGCTTAACTCTTGTCACTTTAAAGTTTAAAATGTTGATTTCATATTATTTATTTTAAATTACATCCACAAAATACTTGCTCCAATTATTATTTCGCTAGCCATTCTATATTGATAAGTTTGAATTTAACCTTAAGTAAATTCTGATAAATATTTTTTCATAATAATTTGCATGAACGTAAAAATTGATTAATGACGTGTTGTTCTGAAACCATTGCTTGAGCATAGTGAAATGAAGGTTAGCTTTCATTGTTTGAAATGAAGGTTAATCGCAATGTTTTTCTCGGATGCAAAAACTACGAATGAGGAAAGAAGATCTATTACTTCGGCCGAAACTTCTTCGAGAAAGCACTGGTGGAATTCAAAACTGGGAAGAAGAATATAGAGGAAGCAGTAGATATTTTTTCCAATTATATAGATGTGGGTTCTTTAGTTTCAAAATCACAATTCATGTTCAAACAACACATTTACTAAAATATTAATACATCTATAATATTCTGCATCTATTAATGCAACATATCGTATCTATTAATAAACAATATCTATATCATCTTACATCTATAAAACAATATCTATATCATCTTACATCTATTAATACATCTTACAGCTATAAAACAACATCTTACATCTATAAAACAACATCTTACATCTATATCATCGTATATCACTCTCTCATAAAACAAAGTGGTGAGAGTTCTATCAATTTCACTCGTGCTAACAGCTAAAATTCAGACAGCGCGCGAGGAAAAATATTAAGGATTTAAAATTATGGATTTAAAATCCCACATATATATGTAATGAAACTGTGGTTCGATGACACGACATGAATGATTTGATTATGGATGCGGCACAAACTTGGATTAAACTCTTCGGTGAAACAGGACTTTTCCCATGATTCACTGTGAACATAGCTTAACAAACTCGTGTAGAATTTTTCATAATTAGAACCTGTCGAAGAATGTAATGACAGAACAATATTGGAAGCACTGAAATAAGAACACTAAGATGTAAATGCGCAAAAATACTGATTGAGTAGATACTCGAAGCTTAGAGCGTCCATCCATTTTTGAAGAAGAAACAGTCGAGCCGGATTAAATTCCTTTTTTATTTAAATTCTCATTTTGTGGCCACAATTCACTTGGCACTCTACTCGGGCCTATTAAAGAACATTTACAATTTTGATATTATTGCCATAGAAACGAATATAGCAGCACACACATGATTGCAGAAAGACATCTGGCCAAGAGGAAAACACAAGCAAAAGTGACGCATCAGTTCATAGAAAGAAGGGAGGGAGTCAAAAGTTTCAGTTTTTAGTTTTGGTTTACAATTTGGTGATTGGTCAAGAGGCATTTGCATTAAGGGTTACGTAAGATCGCATGATTAATTTGAATGACGTAGTTTAGATTTACAGCACTACTTTTAGAACAGAGCGATGAAGTTTCCAGATGAAATAAAAAATAAAAGTGCTTATAGTGAATTAAATTTAGAAGTTTGCTTTCATATTTTTTTTTTATCTTACACATTAAAAAAATAAAAATAAAAAATAAAAGAGGTTATAGTGAATTAACTTTAGAAGTTTGCTTTCATATTTTTTATATTATAGTATCACAAATTTTTATTTTAAAACAAACAATCCCAATATTACTTTCGCGCAATATGCTGCTGAAAATTGATCAATTACAGACGAAAAGTAAGAAATTTAGAACCAAATCCACAAAGACGGGAAAGAAATGAAATTCAAAACCAATAAAATCCAAAATTCTCCCAAAATATGTAAAAAATTAAGCAATAGTCATCAAACCAGTAGAATTAAAGAGAAGGGAAATACAAAAATAACAACAACAACAACAAAAAAAAAAAAAAAAAATATTTAGGAAGAGGAATGCAATTAATATTTGATATATCTTTATCAAGAGGAGGTAGAGCAAATTTAATTGAACCCCTCACCCCTTACTTTGCTTTAAGCCCTATGCGTTTGAACCAATCTTGGGCTACAACAATGCACTTCATTTTCATCAAAGGTACATTTTTAAAGATCACCTTTGCATAGTTTATCTTCTCGCTGGAATTCTCAAAGCCGAATATTTAATTTAAAAAAAAAAAAAAAAAAAAAAAAAAAAAAAAAAAAATCTGAAATGTTTTAGATTTTAAATTACGTCCAAAGGGGCGTTTTTTAACGTTTTGAGTGTTACCTTTATTTATTAAATATCATGTTCTTTGCACTTAAACCATAAAATTCAGTTCAAGAGCAATATCGCAAAATAATGTTAAATTAAGCATATCTTTAGAATTTCCGATATACACAGTCTCGCGAGCTGGAGATAAAAGTATTTTTTTTTCTATATAACGTTGCCATTTCTCGCTTTTAAAGCATTGAGTTTGTAAATCAAAAATTCGTTAAAGTTTTACAAAATATAAAATCTATAATAAAACAAATTCCAAATTTGGGATTTCAGATGCCCATATTTCAGATGTCCATATTAGTAGGATTTCGTCATTCAAAATTCGATGGCTCTATGTACCATTGTTTTATCACAATGCGAGAAATAGACAATCATTTATGCAGATTTTTCATTATTTAATTTCTTCAAATATAATGCAGGACTCTAACATTTTGTGGCAACAGTTTGAAAAGTGAACCGACGTTTATGAGTCCGATGCAAAATCGCAAAACGAAAACAATAGTCCTTCAGGGACAAAGCCCCTTTAGACTAAAAAAAAAAAAAAAAAAAACTAAATGAAAAAGAAGTCAGAATTCGTATACATTGAGCAATAATTTAAGCTAATAGGAATCATTCACAACTTACCGCCATGCCCAGTTGCGCATATAAATAAAACCCAGGCTACTCCGGCTGCCCACACTGTTCTGTGCAAGACGGCGTAAATGACTCCTTCAGCGGGATCAGCTCTGTTGCCCCTGCTCCAGGAATATGTGGCAAAAAGTACAGCAAGACAGCTTGCCGAAGAGACAGCCCAACCTGCACTTTGTGCAAGCTATGGAAAAAAACAACATCATATAAATCTTTAAAAATGTAAATATTTAGAAAGTGAATTAAATTTAAAATTAGATATTTAGTAATATTGTCTTTAAAATTATAGATATGTAGTAAAAGAAATTAAATTTTATTTCTGTATCACTTTTCCAGGCTCCAAATTTCGTACATTCCTGATTTTCAAATTATTAAAGACTTGTACAAAATCAGATTATACACTTTTTTGAAGTAACTCATTGCCGAATTTGTGTACACATATACACTATTTATATGCATAGGTTTATATATATGAATAGTGTATATAGGTTTAGTAGTCTATATATAGGTTTTTTTTTAATAAATTTCAAAGATATGACATTTTGCAAACTTTATTTTTCTTTTGATAGGGAAATAAGAGTAATAAAGATTTAAAGTGTCATATTCCTGAATAGTTTAAATGCTTTATGTACTTGTGGTAAGAGTTGGAGCGCTATCACGCATCCGTCTGTTCGGACAAAAAATTGTTTCAAATTATTTTTCTACTTATTTTATCACTGAAAAGCTTTCTTTACCGGAAAAGATTGTAGATTGTACGTTTTCACTCAATCAGCATACGAACTAGGAACTTTAATTGGAGTTCTTTGTTGGTAGTTTCTGTGTTTGTAAATGAAGACATAGTTTTCCCTTCGCATGTTAATCCCAAAGCAATCCATGGTGATTGGATGTTTTATATCATGTGACAAGACAGAAAAATTGTAATAAACAGTGGTTTTTCCGAAGCGTTTTGAATACGGCCTTTAAAAGAATAGAATACATTAGAATAGTTTTAAGAAACATAAATATTTTTGTTTGTTATTATTCTTTGGCACTTGTATAATTTTAAATGTCATGTTAATGTCCTTCTGAGAAATACTTTTAACACCATAATAAGCAGTTTCCATTACGGTAGACAACTTTTCTCTTTTGCTCTGCTTTCTTGTAGTAACTAGGTCAACGGGGGGGGGGCTGGAAAAAATTTTATTCTGTTGTAACTATTCGCATGCGTCAAAATAAACTGTCTCTCCTCTGATAACGCAATATCTAAGATGATCATTCTTCAGTTTTTAACGAAATATTGTAAAATATTTATAGGAGATTAATACCAAAATACGTATATGTATTTCATTTACACAATTAAAAATTGAGGGTATGTTTATTACTAGCTGTATTTTAATATTCGTTCATATTTTATTTCAAAAATTCAATAAGTTTAATATATGAAAAATTAAAATTACTAAGATCTTTTTTCCCCACTTACCTTGGAAAGAGTCCATTTATGATACTTCCAAAGCAGATAACCTAGTGCTAAGCCAACACAGTAAGCTCCAATGTGAGGATATGGTCTGAAGTAAATGAGATTTGCTGTCTTCTTCGTCAACCTAAATACATATTTTAATTTCACAGAATTTGCTTTTCATTGCTATGTTAGGTACACTATGGTTACTTATTTTTCACGCTGATTTAAAAATATGTTATACTGCTTTGGTATCTCAACCATGTCAGAACATTTTTTTAAGCTATTATTTTTACGATGTTATGATATTTACAGAATAGTAATGAATGCCCTAATGCAGGCATCTCAGTTTTTCATAAACTTATTTCCCAATTTTTCTTTTCAGATTTCATTATTTATTGGCAGCTTCAGATTTATAATCATTACGGGGTTGTATATATTGCAGAGATATTATTAAATAGTCGGAGGTATTGTATTCACATTTGCAATGTACGAGGAATGTAGAAATATAAAGAGGTATTTATAACATAAATATTATTTACTGAATGTATAATGAAACGACTTAACGCTATTTTCCTATGTAATCAGCTGCCATTGCAATATACTTGTTGCAGAACTCATGGGGTTTCTTAATGGTAGAAGAATAAAAGTCTTGATTGCATACTGAACCATTCTTTCAAAACTTCAATAACTTGCACATTACCCATGGATTTTTCTCCTCCTGAAAATTTTATAAGTAAATAGAAGAGGTATGGTTTATTTAATTACGGCAAACTATTCGAGGGACTATCTTCCTAAGGGTGGGATGCCTTCATGGAGGACTTTCTAAGGTAGATCGAAGATATCGAAGTCCAATGATGCTAAATTACCATCGAACTGATTTTTAAGTCTGTAATAAATCTGAGACGGAGTAACAATTTCCTTAGTCAAAAATAAAATGATGATTTTGCTTTGCAACTCTGTCGCAAATCTCTTCTCCTACATGCTGATTCCAAATAACAGGAGTTACGGAATGAGAAGCTATCATTGACGAAAATGTGTATAATTTTAAACGTATATGTGTTTGCCCAAAGAATGACATGTTGAACTTTACAAGAACGGAGTATAAAAATTCTTGTTTATATTTAAATGTCCGTTTATGCATACTACATATATGCGTTAAATAAGTTGAAGTGAGAAAATGTTTTGATAATATTTTGAAAATGGGAAAATGGCTTAGGTTACAAAAACATCAGTGTAGACTAGTAATAGCCAAAGAGTGACCTACAGGCTGTATATAGCTCGTGATATCTTCTTTTGCATCCTTGGCGTAGGCTACATTATTGGCCGATTTTGCAAATTTGTTTACATCTTCATACATCTAATATCTTAGGACTACTTTTATTCAAAGATTATTTAAAATTGGCATCTTGAAGTAACTGGAATTTATTATTTTAGTATATATTCTTATATATTTGCCAAACATAACGTACTGCGGGACCACAAATTAAACTGCCTTTTGAAGGTAGGGATGTTAGCTGCCAATGGTATAAATTAAATAAATACTCATGAAAAATAAAGTCAGTGAAAATAATTTTCCAAAATTTATTTATGACCGAAACTGTGTAATGCATGTAGTAGAATGCTTCGAAAATACCATATTTTGGAAAACAGTGATCAGTTACAAACAGCTGCACTTAAGGCTTTCGTAAAAATAAAGCAAAAACAATACAGTTAGCGTGATATGTACCAGAAGCATTTTAGGCACAAATGAACCTATATGTATCAACAGGTTGTCTTGTAATCAGTATTATAATGTTTAAGAGGTTCAATAAGAAACGTTTAGTAAAAAAAAGAAAAAAAAATGTTTATAAAATTTGTATTGCATCGGTAAGTGACTCATCCAGAAACAAAACAGAATATCGTATTTCACTGATACAAGTCTAAAAATTTAATCCATTTTTTTGTGCAATTTGTAAGAGTGCAGTAGAAATTTTCTAGCAAACTCGCATCATGAAAGCATTTATCTATACTGAACTTACAAGCATACACCTAATTTATGGGAAGTTACCTATAATGACCAAAACACGTGCGACTCTACATACAGAATGATTTCGTAGCATATACTAACTAAATCATACATGCTTCAGGAAACTGATCAGAGTTTACTTGATAGGAGATCTCTTAAGGGAAGAGACGGAGATGGATTAGTTGAAGGGCACGTATAGAGACGATGAAACTGTCATTTTAGAATTTGTGATTGACAATCAGTTGCAAACATCACGGCTGTCATAAATGGCGGGTCTGCAGACTCATGAAATGAACCCTTATAGATAGTGCAGAGATCGAGACTTCCCCTCATATTTAAATCTATGCTTTTGCTTTTAGGATAACTAATGCACATTTCGGATTTACAGTTTTCCCCATTATTGAATTTTACAAATGAGGAATGTTTTGACAAATGATTTTACAAATGGCTTATTTTACAAACAAAGCCATCTGCGGTATGAAATGAACTCTGACGGTACACGTGCAAAAGCTTTTCAAAAGCGTTTTTCAGCTAAAATTTATATTAGTATAATGCACTGACGAGGAAAGCTAAAAGAGCAACTATAAAAAAGTGTTTTATATTAATTCTATTAAGAAAGGTTCAATGACCGGTGGTTGGTAGCTCAATATCAACGTCATTTAATGCGATTCACATTCGCTACATAGATTTACCCAAATTGTTGTACCCATACTATCGACGCAGCGCAAAAGGTAGATTATAATTAGATTCTAATTTTTAGGATTATACTAGTTGTAAAATAAAATTTTCGCATGTAGAAGGTGGAAAATGTCATTTAGAAGGCATTTATTGTTTGGTTTACGAGAAATAGTTTGCCATTGGGAGAAGGGAAGCAGGACAGTTACTGTTACAGGTCTGTAAAGATCTAAAAGTAGCCAGAAACGTCATGTCAAGAATCTGACAATAGTTTAATGATATTGGAGATGTAATCAAATAATCAGATCAAGGCCGAAAATATAAGTCTTATGGCCGTTATTTGTCAATGATTGCCAAATGAAATATACAACTGATATCAGTTCATATTGCAAGGATGCAGCTACAGGAATTAAATTATCTAGACGTACCATGAGTGACAGGCTATATAAAATCAGGTTGTTTTCAAGGAAACCCATAATTTGTTTCCCATTAAATTGGGGTGCGAAGTGTACCTATTTGCAATGCTGCAGATATCATCTGATTGGAGTACCATGGATTGAAGCAAAGTTTTCGTTACTGATGAGTCTCGTTTTTGTTTGAAGTATGAGTCTAGATGTGTTAAAGACTGATGGGAGAAAAATACACAAAATAAGCCTGAAAAATCCGTTAAAGGTATGAATCAGTACAAAGGTATGAAATCATGGTATAAACGAGCATCATTTTGAATTGCCGTACTGACACTTTTTTTACTAGTGCAGCTATGAATGCTGAAAAAGCAAAAATAAAGTTACTGGCTCTTAGATCAAGTTGTTTAGGGGTACAATCGGTAATACAACTTCCGTCTAATGGACTATAATGCTCGTCTTCATTGCAATGCCCCAGTGATCGTTAAGTTAAAGGAATCCAGAAGATGGACTGGTCCGCATATTCTCTGGATTTAAATCAGACAGAGAATATGTGTTGGACGAATTAAGACACTGACTGACATTTGCTTAAATTAATATTTTTTTGAGAAATAGACAAATATTCATTTTGCATACAAGTTCAATGACAAAAATAAGATCTTTTGCAAGTTTTACATTTTTACTGTAAAATTGTTCAAGTTACATGAGTTTTTATTGTTGCTCTTTTAATTTTTCTCACCAAAGTAAATAACATAATATTAGGACCATATGCAGATTAGATGAGAAATCTTCATTTGCTAGGCTATAGATTGTTTTTCTGATCTTTTCCTAAAGGCTATAGAAAACATTTGAGCGCCGTGACTTATCTCACTTGCCTGACAGCAACATCAGATCAGGTATACGAGTTTCATTGTGCCCAATAGGCAAGGACTGCGCCTGTCGTTGTCTTGCGTCTAGGCACCTATACCAAGTGACAATACGAATTTGTCCATTTCTAGTCCACTTTTAAAGAAGAATCATCCAAGGGTGGGTACTGAAGATCTCCCACCCCTCTTAGCCTTCCTTCAACCTTGGGAGAAGACTTTATGCTCGTTAGTATTTTAAGCACCCCTTGCCGCAAAGGCACTGCACGCTTACATACATCTACGCTTTCTTCAGGATTAGAAACTGGGTGCCAGTGCATGGCAACCGGTTTCCATACTACCATGCCAACGGGTCGGAATATCAAAATTTTAATTGAAATGGACGGACAAATAGTAGATCCCAAAGAGGAACTACTAAGAGGTAGAGTGCAAGAAGCACATAATACTATCTGAAGAACTCCCTGATTCTTTCTTAAACAGCACTCTCTGATCAGATGAATTTTAACGTTTAACAACTGTCTGCTGAAATTTTTACCAGTTGTTATAATATTGTATTACTATTCAGTATTAATAAATGACAACATTGCAGATGTTTCATCTGAGAAACGTAAATTGTCTGCTGTGGCAAAATATTCGTCTGAAAGTAAGTGACCGTTATTTACATTATATGATAACTGAAATTACGGAAAAGGACAATTAGTTTGTTTTATAAGATTGACTTTTTCTTAAAGTTAAAATTTTAGCAGTGTTGCCTTAGATAAATATTTTGCACTGTCAAGTTTTGTATTTAAATTTTGTTTGGCAGTTATTCCAGATAAATTTTATACTTACTCAACATCTGGCGAAAAAAATATCACAGTTGGTGGTAGATTATGTATTATCGTTAGAAGTCCGGTAATGAAAGAGCAAGCTGCCGTTACTAAGAACAACAGGAAGAATCCAATTGTTGGCCATCTGTGGAATATATTGTAAAATTTCAACATGTTAAAAACAAATGCCAAAAGCTTAAATAGATGAATATCTACTTTTATGTACTTATGCACAATAATTTCCTCAAATCCATTTAAAAACACTAATACACATCTGAATTAACTTGCTTATTTTTGACATCGAATAACAACCTTCAGTCTCTGGTTATTTAAAACTCTCACATCAATTTATTATTTGTATTTATCAATTAATATTTGCGTTAAATTAGATATTAAAGATATAAGTGCTATTTGTGGCCCGAATATTATAAAATATCTTAATGCTTGCAATATTATTTCCTTCTGAAATTCTCTACCTTTATTCTCTCACGTTGCATTTAAATCTATTTAAAATTGGTATTTAAGATATATATTGCTTTAAGAAAAATACTGAAATTCAAGGGGTAGTAAAATTGCAATTTTTGTTTTGTGAAAGAGGAAGATAGGAGCTTCTGTAAATTGGAAAAAATTAATTTTAAGCTGGAGTAAAAGTTATTTCCTGAAAATGTCTACAATTTAATGAATATCCTCTAACTACATGTATTTTAAATATATTACAAATAGTGCGCTTAGTGGAATATTAGATTAAAAATAGTACTCAGTGGTATAATGGATTGTATGGTTGACGATATATTAAAATTCTCAGAAAGCCCTTCCCAAGTAGAGGTCCGTCACGTTCGTCCAAAATTAATAAACACAGTATTAAAATTTATTGAATAAAGCATCATTTCCGATTTTTGGAAATTATTTCTTTTCTAAGCCATCGAAAAATCAATTGTTTTATTGCTACCTGTACCTATACCAGAACAGATTGAGGAATGCTACCAGTATAAAATGTAGAAGATAAAATATTCTCTGTTGCTTTTATTCCAGTGTAACTAACTCTAATATATATATATATCTAATAATATATCTATAATATATCTAATATATATATATATAAGATATATAATAATATATCTAATATATATATATATATATATATATATATCTTACATTACTACTGCATTACTACTGCAATTACTACTGCTACTTACGTTAATCATTTAATTTGAAATTTCATTCCAAGATTCTATAACGTGAATAAGGAATCAAGTAACTTCGAGTCAGATTATTACTGCGTACATTGTACAATTTAAAATGAAATTTACTTACTTAAATAGAACAAATAATGCCAGTGGAGCCAGACAGTAGAAGTGCACGTCAGCTGCTACGTACCAGGTGTGCAAAAGGCACTATCAGAAATAATATTTATTATTGAGAAATATGAAATGAATTTATTATTGAGAATTCTGGAATGAATTTTAAATAATTTTCTTATACCTTTTATATTAAAGATATATAAAGACCGCATTTCTCTTTTATTATTATAAATAATATTTATTACTGAGAAAAAGTGGCTTGACAAATATTTATAACATTTACTTGAAACAATAATGGTTAGTAAATTTTTCTAGAGTAAAATCAACTTGGTGTGTTGTGTTTATTGCATAATATACCGTAATGTAAAAGTAATGTATCAGAACTTGAAAATAATGAAATTAATTTCTAATATCTGTTATGCTTTCCCCAGTAGAAAACTATAAAAGAACACTTCTTAAATCTCACATTCAGTTTATCATTTTTTCTTTATTTAAATGCATCAATATGTATCCTGCTTATCTATAGACGTCTGAAACATTCTGAGCATGTAAATGTCATTATTGTTTCCATCGAAAAGTTTCCCTCTGTGAGTGCTTTGTTCATGCGTTCATTTTTTCGCTGATAATGCAGATAGATCTGCTGAATGATCTATTAAAATTTTCGAAATTAATTTTCATGATATTCAACAAACGATAACTTGCTTAGGATCCAATGATGATCTGAAGATGAACTATCCTCGTATAATTATTGAAGTTGTAAAAATTTATTCCATGCTTTGGAACGGAAAAGTTTTTGCATTTAACGATTATTCGATAAAATGTTTGTATTTCAAGCAAGATGATTTCATTTGAATTCAGGGCAAAAGCCGTTTTGATCTCTATTGGGGGGAAAAGGAAAAGGTTTTGCAGAATGATTTTGAAGCTTAAAAATAGCAAATATTTTATGGAGTTTTGCATTGTGTTCCCATTCGCATTTTTAGATTGCATTGTAAGGAATTATCGCATTCCACTGTCCATGCTCTTATGGTGCAAGTGTTAACGCAACGAGCTACCTTCCTAGTTCTATTTCCACCGAGGAAACAGTCAATGTTTCATGTTTCACATTTCAAAACATTTAATAATGTCTCTAGTGGTGTCCGAACTGAAAGTGATGGACTATAACTCGTTACCACATGAATTTAACAAGTTGGATCTCACGCCTTTACTTACGAAAAGAAAAGGAATAAAAAGGAGAGATTGTAAGGAATTTTTGCATCTTCAGTGTGTGCCTTTAGGATAACGGGATAGCACACTCGTGTAATGAACTACACCCACTGGCCAATGAATCAAAAACCCAAGATCAATATTTTATTGGAAATCTGATTGGATTTGTTTGGGCATAGTATCTTTATGCTTCTGGGGGTGCATTTACGTCCAGAGAATACCATGCATTAGCTTTTCAATCTTGTAAATTAGACGGAAGATGAAAGTGCTGTCGGATGCGTCATTCCACTATATTCCACACATTATCTATGGGGTTAAGATCAGGGCTATGCCGTGGCCAGGGAAGGTGTTGAAAGTCAGACTGCAGTTCAGCGAACCAATTTTGAATACTTCTGGTGCGATACATAGTTGCATTGTCATCCAAGAAGTATCCGTCGCCATCAGGATAAAAATGCAGCATTGCAGGGTGCACTTGATCTACCAGTATGCACTTGATCTACCAGTATATCTAGGTATCTCATGGCTGTTTGTCTACTCTGGACGAATACCAGGGCACTACTTCCATGACAGCAGAACATGCCCCATATCATGATACTCCCACCAGATACTTGAACAAGGCGATTAAGGCAAGATGGATTCATGGCTTCATGGGGTTCTCGCCAAATTCGACGTCTTTCATCAGTGAAAAATAAAGTGTAGCGTGATATATCCGACCACATTTCCCATTTCCAATCCTCAGATTTCCAGTGTCTTCTTTCCCGACACCACTGCAAACTAGATCTTGCATGTCGGACAGAAATGAGTGGTTTTTCTCACAGGCACCCAACTATGCACTCCTGTCGTCTGCAATTCTCTGCGCATGGTTTGAACTGAAATCTGTTGGGAAGAGCCTTGGCTGACGATCTGTGTCAGTTGAAGCACAGTAGAGTCCCTCTTCTGCCGTACAATTCGTCGGAGACGACGCTGATCACTCTCTTGGAAAACTGTTCTCGAACAGCAGTCACGTCTTCTAGAGAAGGACTGTGGATTCTGATTTCAACTTTTGAAAAACTCTGATCTCGCTTCTTTCAAAAATCTTCGAAAACGAGGCTCCTGTTAAATGGGCACCAACAATAAGCCAAAATTTTCAAATGGTGAAAGTTCTGGCGTTTTTCCCATTTTACTTCATTCATCGTGAAAAGCACTCTTACAGCTTACTTATACTAGCATTCTAACCATGTGTAACCCACATCATAAAACTATTTGCATACTTCATCCCTCACACGCACGCAAATGAAAATCTCAAAGGTTTCTAATTTATTGGCTAGTATGTGTAGAAGATCCACGGTACGAATTCCGACAAGGGATCAATTAATTATTAAAATTTTCTCCCGAAAAACACATAGTCTCTAGAACGTGAACACAACATTTCTATTTATAATAATCACCTGAAATTTTATAAAATTACATAGGCAGAGCTTTACTTTCTATAATGCAGAAAATTTCTTGTATTCTGCAGTTTTCCATATTTGGGTACATTAGTAAGGTCCAGATACTGCAATTAAAATTTATCGAATTTTAACGCTGGGAGCTGGATCCAATGTCTCACTTTTAAACTAAGACGTGGAATTTTCTGCATTGAAACTTCAATAATCTTGCTTTCAATGTCAAATTTTGCATCATTTCTATTCAATTAATCTACTATGAAACTTTTCGGCATTTGATTCGCCGTTTTTTTCTCCATATCCTCTTTCATTGCTGACATTTATTTCTTTGCAGTTCGAGAAGTGTTGGGCTAAGCCTACTAATATCTTCGTAACTACGAGGGCTATCCAGAAAGTAGATTACGTTTTGGAATAAAAAAATAAACAAAGTATAGGAAACAAATTTTATTATATACAGATGAAAGCCACACTCAAATACTACTTTTCTACATAGTCACCATACAAATTAAGGCATTTATCGTAGCGATGTACGAGCTTGGAAATTCCTTCGTCGAAAAATTCGGCCGCCTGCGCCTTCAACCACTTCGTTACCTCTTCTTGCAGCTGTGCGTCGTCATCAAAACGCTGCATAGCCAGCCACTTCTTCATTGCTGGGAATAGGTGGAAGTCGCTCGGTGCCAGGTCGGGACTGTACGGCGGATGAGGAAACAAACTCCCACTTAAAAGATTCAAGAACTTTACGAGTGACATTTGCCGTGTGGGGCCGGGCGTTGTCGTGAATCAACAAGATCTTAGAGCTCAACATTCCTCTGCGCTTGTTTGAATTGCTCTTCTGAGTTTTTGGAGAGTTTGGCAATACCTTTGAGAGTTTATTGTAGTGCCTCTTTCCAGGAAGTCCACCAAAATTACACCTTTTCTGTCCCAAAAAACAGTCGCCATCATCTTCCTTGCCGACATTGTTTGCATGCATTTCTTGGGTTTTTGGGGAGAACTTGTGTGCCCCCACTGCATTGATTGCAATTTCGTTTCACAGTTCACATGTTTCACCCATGTTTCGTCACCAGTAACGATGCGATTGAGTAAAGAGTCACCATCCTTATGGTAAGCGTCCAAAAAGTTCAACGCTGCAGCCATTCGCAGATTTTTGTGGTCCTCTGTCAAGATTTTTGGAATCCATCTTGCACAAAACTTGTGGTAACCAAGCTTTTCGCTGATGATTTCGTGCAACAAACTTCGCGAAATTTGTGGAAAACTCAAAGAAAGTTCCGTTATTGTGAAATTTCGATTTTCACGGACTTTAGCATCGACTTTTTCGAGAAGTTCGGCGGTCACTATGCTGGGTCTCCCACTTCGATCTTCGTCGTGAACATTGGTTCGGCCCATTTTGAAATCTTATGACCCACTGACGCACTCCACCTTCAGTGATAATGTTGTCCCCATACACTTCACGAAGCTGCCGATAGATTTCTATCGGTTTACAGTTTTTTGCAGTCAGAAACCTTATTACTGAGCGCACCTCGCGGGATTTTCAATTAACGCAGACATTTCAAACCGTCACAGTATCTGAACGGAGCACAGCACGAACCTCTCACTAGCACGGCTAGATGCAGACTGAGCTGCGCAACGCTCTGACCCCAAGATGGCCGCGCTAGCCCCGCCCCTAGCGGACACAGACGGAAACGTAATCTACTTCCTGGATGGCCCTCGTATGTGCTTCTTTTGAAGCAGAATATGCCGTTCGCTAGATTAGCGTGTTTTCGTTCATTAGCCAAAGAATCTGTTCACTTAAAGGAAAACTTTAATCTCCAAAGATGAAACCAGTTCTAAAGTTTTTCAGAAGTTATCTGTTTTCTAATTTTGTACAGATTTTAAAGTTTGTATTGATAACTGCGTTTAGTAGTTAGAAAACAGGTACATTAATTAGTAAATTATTGTCTGTGTAGTGCAGTTGTATCAATAGTAGTTATTTATTATGGTGTTATAAACAACTATGTGCGTAACAAACTAATATAAAAATTTATATATCTTTATTTTATTTTGCAATCACTTATGATAATGAAAATAAATTTCGTCATTCTGGGAAAAAAAAAATAAATAAATAAATAAAAAATAAATAAATAAATAAATAAAAAATAAAGCCTATTTTTTTATCAATAATATGGCATCTTGAACGTGGCTTTCAAATTCGAATGTTATATTGTTATAATTTGAAGCATATTGTATATTAAAGATACCTTATGTTGCAAACAAAGCAACAGAGCCAGCTACTATACTTCTTAACCGCATTTTGATACCCTTCAAAAGCAAAGCGATTGTTAATAGAATATCTGTGTCTGAGAAGCAGTTTTACTTTTATTTCTAATTGTATTCTTGTCAATTAATGGTCGAGGTTTTGCATAGAAACAAAGATCATAATTTGGGTGCTAACAACATTGCTGTAAGTGTGCAAAATGTGAAGACCTCTTACTATATTGTAATTTTCAACTAAAATCCACTTACCATGGAACTAAAATCCACCCACGTGTTTATAGGTAAGAAAACTTGCCACCATCGTTTTTCACAGTTGGCAACTTTTTGACCAATCATATCTGCCCATAAAGGACCAGAACCAATCAGTGGTAAAAGGAACATAACACCTAAAGTGCCTGCTAAAGGAGGCGTTAACCTGAAATAAAAGCCATATATACATATATATACAAATAAATTTCAGATAGTAATATATTTTCCGTCTTAAAGCAATATACATTTAGATAAAACCACAATTTCTTAAAACTTAATGTTTATGAACTCTTTTTTTTTTTCATTTATATTTTCGCTTTAATAGATAAATTTGGTATATAAGCCTCTGAACGTGACTAGAGGCACAGTTTAGAAGAAAACAGAGCAACTCACTAATGACTGAATACATAACGACAATATATCTATATATCTATATGCTTAACATATATACCATAATGGTGAAAAGTAACTAAAATTGTATTGGATTAGCTGCTGTCGGTAATGTAGCATCTACATCATCAATTTCTTTAGAACTTAATTGTGAATCTGTCAGTTTGCATTACAGCTACGAGCACACTGAACTTGACAATGTCAGTACCTTTTCGGGAGTAACAGTAACTTTTCAATGCTCCAAAATAAGTGGTATTCAGAATTTTCTCCTTTTTCTTTCTGAACAGTCCCCACCATGCACTTTCTTTTCATATCCTGATCCTTCTTTCAGTTTTCTCACTTTACGTAGTCAATTCCTGGAGGATCCAGTACTAAGCTCTAGCCCCCCTTTTTTATTTTTTAAAAATATTCTATCGATCGGATTCAGGCTGAAGACCATCTAACCGATTGGGCCAGCTATTCTGTCGATGGCAAAAAGAAAGAAAAATACATAACGACACTAGTAGTTCTTCACAGGCTCTGTTCTGTACAAACGGAATACCGATGTATAACCTGAGAACATGCAAATTTTTTAAAGAAACGTTCTCCGTGGAAGCAGCTGTCCTAAAGCAAATAATTCTAGTGTGCTCTACTGTAATTAACTAATTAACTAATAGACCAGGAGAAAATTTTACCTTGGTGAAGCATTCTAACCTACTGATACCGAAATTTGTACAATTTATAAAGCCAGTCAGTTGCCAAATTCCAAAGGAATAAATTAAATGTAAATGAATTTATTTGTTATTTATCTTTCTGCGGAAAGAGTATAACTTTTAAATAAAACAGCAAAGTTTCATAAAGAAATTGAATTATAATTTTAGTTTATTAAAGACAATGCATAGGTCGGCGTATGGATACCAAACCTTCAATGTTTCTCTTCGAGGTATGAATCATTAAAAACTATAGTTTTAAACTTCGAAGACAAAGAAGAGTATCCTGAAAGAGATACAATACCTATTATAACATATCAAAGCGTATACTAAGCTTTATCTGTAAATATTGCAAGGTAGATGCTTAGATCACTTTTCATAAATGGTACCTGAACATACTAAAAGTATAACTTTAGTATATTAGAAGAAAATAAATAAAGTTTAGATTGCTTGTTTATATAATAATCAATTATATTCTTCGTTGGTTTGAGAATGGAACAAAAGTTTTCATACTGATAATAATATAGCAAAAAATTAGCCATTTACATAATTCGCGGATTATGGTCTATAATATCGCGAATAACTATCTACAAGATGATTTCTATTTTGTAGAAATTGGACCAGTGACACAAAATGATACATTTAGATACGGAAGTGGTACAAGCAATTCAGTCAACTTGACTTCAAGTAACACAAGCAGCTATAAGTTTTTCTTCCCAGTGGCTAGATATTTGTTTCTTAAGCATTCATCGGGAATAGCTGAACCCATCGGTCAAATTGGGATCACAGTGGATAAACCGAGGTTGCTTTTATATCTAATTATAAATATTACATTGGTTTGTTTCTCTTTCAATTTCAAATAAGGTGTTCTTTACATTTTTATTATATTGAATGTAATTTATTCTATCTAATTTGTTTTGATGAATTAAATGTGTTATGAATAATTCTAGAATTGGAGCATTTGCATTCTATAATGCTTGAATCCCATGAACCTTGACAAAGATTTGAAATTCCAAAACTTATATCTTTAAGCTTTTTTAATTTTTCGAATCCTTCGAATGCCAACTTAAAAAATCGTTAAAACTTTTAACTAAAATCTTTGGAAAGATTTGTTTTATTTACAAGTAGAAGCGTTATTATAAGTGATAAGTGACGGTGGACGTGGGCACTGTCCCTTTGCCGTAAAGATTAATCAGTACAGCACCACGTCCATCCTTATCTAAAATACGCGACTGCAGTAGTTTTAGTGGATCTGGATCACAAAAATCAACTCATGGTGACTCTAAACGAAACTGTTAAATTTTTAGCCAGAATTAAGCGCTGTATGTGGTATGGCATATTATGCATAGTATGAATGTGTTAAGTCTTGAAATAATCCTCTTTCTCTCTGATTTTTTTAATTTTAAAAGACTTGATATCGGAAAAATATAAAAAATGAATTGTTGCTCAAAAATTTTTGTCAAATTATTTCATTAAATTTTGAATTATTTTTTGTTGTCAAGTGATTTTCTTTTAAAGTAATATTTAGGATTCAAGAGTATTAATTATAAACTTAATAAATAAAGTTAATTTTGTATTGTTTTGAAATGCATTCTGAAGTTTGTTTTTCCTTTAACGGAAATTTCAGATCTTGCTTTAATTAATAACATTTAATGGCACGTAAAGTTTTTTCTCTTTCTTTTTTCCCTCTTTTTATTCTTACATGAAGAATTCGAAAAGTTCAAGATTCCAAAATTATTTAGGATTCAAATGTTGAGAAAGTTTAAGATTCGCCCATGCTAACTAATATTTATGTATTTCAGGATTTAGAAAAGTCTGCGTTAATCATGATTCTACATAAATCAATGAGTAGCTGAAAATAGGTTAAAACCATTTTATAAGTTTGACTTTGAAGAAATCTTGAATCATGCAAACTTGCAAAATGTTTTTCCCATATATTAGAATGTTTCGCCATCTTATCTTAAGAAGAATACACAATTCAATAGAGCGTGTTTACATGCAAAATTGTAAGAACATTACAACAATAGTTGATTGTTTTAGAAGACCCAGACAATGAAGTACACTACACTATGTATATTAGGTTTAGGATATCTGTTTGATTGTTCTGCAGCTACCGTTTCTTAATGCAAATGCAAAGAGGGCAGGATGTTTAAATACAATGCCAAGGTTTGTTTTCTTTTTCTGATGTCCAGTTATCACTGTACTAATACTTCTGTGCTTAGTGACTGTGACCTCGATATTTGATATCGGATTATACTAAAAAACTGCGAATTAAAGTAATGCTTCTTTGTGTATCGTCACTGTGGCATGACAACTATTTTGTCACTGACTCTTTCCTCATGCTGCTTATATCAATATAGTCCCCCCCCCCAAGATTTAGTTTGGAAAATTGACTATGGCAGCTATTAAAAATGTTTCTTGCAAAAATTCTAAAGATACATACTTTTCTTCCATTCTCTTTAATAACAAGGCATGTGGTAACCGTGAACTATTTCCAAAACAAAGACATGGATACGAAATAGTCACAAATTGAAATCAAGGATGAGGAAAGTGCCTATATATCTGAACCTAAATCTCAAAACAAATATCTAAATTTTGCTTCGTATCCATTTTTTTATAAACAAAAGGAAGGAAATATAGATAAAACAAAAGGAAAGAAAAACTGTTTAAGAATCCTGCGTCTAGGTTTCAAAAATTAATTAAACATAATCAAATGAATGAAATGGGAACACTTCTATCAAAAATTAATATTAGGTAAAAATTAAGAATTACTATTTGAAGTCTACATTAATTCCAGTTTACTAAATCATAATTAGAAAATGAAGAAAGTAAAAATTTAAAATTTAAAATTAATTGCATAAAAACCAAAAGGTAAAAATATAAGTGCAAATTAAAAGAAAATTTTAGCAATGTTGCAGCAAAATTATTCTTCAGGAGGAATTAGCTTATTTCATCCTCTTCTCAACTGCTCAGACATTGTGTTTCGTCAAACCTTCTACACTTAAATTTTCAGTTCATCAAATTTAGCTAACCCATATAAGATTTGAGATTTTAATACAATAATGTATTTTATCATAGACAAATAATTTTTATTTTGAACTAAAGTTGTTGCAGTAAGAAACCTACAAATCTAAATTTAACTTCTGGAAACAAATAAAATTTATTTCTTAAAATAATTTTCCCTGGACTTGAAATAACTTTGTTGAACTTGCATACAAAATTATTTTGCTGAAACAATTTTATACACATGTTCTAAATACTTTTTTTATTTTAAATTTTACAAATGTAACATTAGAAGCAGAATTTTTTTAAAAATGTGTATATTTTAGTTTTTTCTTTCTTTAAAACTAAAATACCTGACTGTTGTGTTAACTCTCACTGATGATAATCTAACTTGCAGGGTGCTATTGTGTATGCATAGTGAAGTTGTGATATTATGTAACCATCACATTTGAAGCTCACGATGTCATGGTACTATGAGGGTCTTTTCATTAGCATAGGCTTAGGTTACTATTAAATTGATAAAATATTTATTGTAAAGATATTGCAATGTTTTGGTCTTAAATTATAAAGACATTGTATTACTTGGTCGAATTTTCCTCAGGAAAAATGAGATCGTGATAAAAAATATGTAAGTAAATAATTTTCTGTAATACATAATAATGGAAATTTTATGTAGCCCATAATAAATTGAAATCGGGAAAACAAACCATGTAGAAAGAGGAAATTTGTTTTTTATGTAAACAGTTTTAAATGGGAAAATAGTAAATAATTAGGTTATTTCACAAAATAATTTGTATAATTTTTATGAATGGAAGAGGAAAGCTCCATATTTGCCCAGGGTCTTCAGGTTTCTGTACTGTTCAGTTCTGATTGCATGAATAAAACAACATTTTTTAGTTTGCTGCGTCAAATGTAAAATTTAAAATTTCTCAAGATGATATGAAAATTGAAACTAGAGAAATGCATCAGAACAATTAACAGCTGTCAGCTAAGCTGCAAGGAAATGGATAAAAGATTGAAGAAGTTCACTTAGATTAATAGATTAACTGTAGAATGAAAATTTCAATTCAATCAGCGAAATTTTAATTGCAAAAGCATAAGGCAAAAATGAATGCAGTACCGTATCTGCTCCTGTTGCAATAAACAGAGGTAAAATGTCAAACAGGGGTAGGGTTGTCTTTTTATGTTGGAAGCATACTTCTTTTTGAGTTTTGCATGTCATCATACTGCCATTGATCTGAACTTCCATTAAAAAGACAGTAGTTGACATTTAGATTTCCTAAGATGATTTGCCTTCCAATCACTAATAGCTTGCATTTTTATTCAAGACACGGCAGATACTACAAGTGTTATGTTGCAGTTGTAGAAAATAATATAAATGCATTTAAAATATGCACCAGTATACTAAAAGTGTACCCTTACCTCCAAATTCTATGAAGGACGTGTGAGAAGAAGTTGATGGTTCCCCCTGAATTTTCCATGAGTTTTAAATTTGAAATAGCGACCAAAAGACCTCTAAAAGGAATACAGACATAACAATTATTACCGAGAAAATACAATAATAACTTGAGAATAAAATGTTTGTAGAAATTATTCATAGTTTAAATAAAGGTACTTCTCTCGAAAAGGATGATTCGTAATTATCTACACGAAGTTTGATGAGAAAAGAGATCACTTTAACTTGTCATTTCTGTTAATTAATAAATGTCCGCATGCATCCTCCTTTACGCGTTTTTGATTCATAAATGAAAAGAAAAAAAACCACTCTTATTCTTAAGAGGTTTACTAGCTGATTGATTAATTAATTAAGACAAAATACTTTAGAAGTATCTGCGGATGCTTTCATGGAGAACTTTCTAATAGAAACATTTACGTTATTAATCGTTACATGAAACGTTTGTATTTACTATTTACGTTACACATGAATAATATCTCAAAACACCCATGAAGCCAACCCATTCCACAAGATCAAACTACCAGTTCCAGTAATTTTGTCCATTGTACATTGTGGGCTATGACTGCATGGAATGCTCATAATTTACATAGATGCTGGGTGCAAACCAAAGAACTTTTGGTGGGTCGGCATGCTTTCCTTAACGAATCTTTTACGGTTACCGTGTGCAGAAATTCTTTTATTTCCATTGGCAATTTCAGACCCTAAGTTCATATCAGCCATATCAGCTTTCGGAAAATGTTCCATGCTGCAAATACGAAAGCCGCGTCACGAAAGATAATTAAAAAAAAAAAAAAAAAAAAAAAAAAAAAAAAAACGCTATTTATCCACCATCCATTGCTTGTTAGCATCAAAAGATAATGCTTGCGAATCTATGTAATCATCAATAAAAAAAAAGTGTTTTCGTACTCCTATAAAACGTCTACAGAGCTTCAAAGTTTACTCCATAGACTGATATTACTTTTCTTTCGTTAAAAGTAACGATATAAAATTAAGAGTACTTCAAATTCAACTAGAAGTTATGTGAGGTTAGATATTTTTAAACAATTGTGAAGACAACAACTCAGGCTTGTGAAAAGCCTGGCAAGAAGTTTATTTTGTAGAGTTTTCGATATGCAAAAACCAATTAATTTACAGGACTGATAATATTCATAATTTAATAAAACACTTTCAAATTTTGTCAGATTCGTATTGAACTTTTCATTAATTTCTTTCAATCACTAACTATTACAGGTAATCTTATGCCTGCTTGAGGGAATTTTAAATATGATTCACGTTTGATATTTAGAATTACTGAAAATTTAAATTATAAATATCTGACTAATTAAAAAAATTTGCAACGTGTAATTAAGAAATTATTTATGGCTGTTTCAATATATTTATGTTAAAAGGCATCTTTAATACATAATTTTGGAAAATTACTTTGAGATTCAAAGTAAAGTAATCCTGCTTAAAATATGTTTACTCATTTATATAAATATCTAAATAAATGCCATCAATTTGAAATATTTTAACATATATTTGGAATTTTTTCTGAATTTTGAAATGTAAAGTTTGAAGTAAAATTTATTCAAATACTGATGTTTGCATTAATACATAAGAACTCTTCATCTGAAATTTAAAAGTTGTTTTTAATTTTAACGATTTAGAATTTTTGGTACTATTCTGTTTTGAGGACCGTAAAAAAATCGCAGCGAAAATGTATGCGCAAAAGCGCTAAATCTATCAAACGCTCCATTTAAAAGCGCCCCAAATCCAGCGTACGCGCTGATTTCAAATTGCTTAAGTTTAGGTAGTTCTGTATTTTTTAAAACGCCATTAAAATACCAGTTTAATTTTTAAATCCTTTTTTGATTTTAAATCCTTTTTGATAACCTATGGATATAAAAAATTTGGGAATTGCCCATGACGAAAAGTCTGCAATAAAATTTGTTCAAAGAAAAGGCATCATTCATGATAGAAAATTATGTTTGAACAACCCACGAGATTAAATTATGCTTTAGCGACAACTCGGTAGCGAAATTATGCTTTAGCGATAACTCGGTAGCGAAATAGTGATGTAGGAATCCATTCAGTTATGTTTAGCCTTTTTTTATGTAAATTATAATAAGGATCTGAAATAGTTATTTACTGTTATGCTTCCATTCAGTTATGTATAGCTTTTCTTATATAAATTATAATAAAAAAGTATTATATGAAATTAACCTTTCATCTAAATTAAAACAATAATTTTAGTTATTTATTATTATACTTCTTTTTTTTTTTGCGTTAGGGTTGCCGCAATTATTTTTGGCAGCACTGGCATCAACAATAGTTTGGCGATTTTTTACGGTCCTCAAAACGGAATACTACCGAATTTGTTTACTGTAATAATTAGTGCATATTCTTAAATAGACAAAATGGTATTTTGGTTTGAATTTTAGCAATATCTTTCATGCCTTTTATTAGGCAATTTTGCCTTAGTAACATCATCTCAGGCCTACCAGCGTCAGAATGCTTAGGACTGCTGAACAACAATAGTTAAACCAGGCTAAAAATCCAGTGAATGGTTTGGTTTGTGTGATTAAGGCAAAGATTGGAGGGTTGTCTGCCTAAGGAGAGGAGTGCCTTCATAGAGGACTTTCTGAGGGAAACTGGCTTATATACACCCTTGAATGGGCTATCTACATTGGCGTTTTCCTTATGTGTAACATGGAAGAAAAGCCACAGTTTCTTAGAAGTCATCCCTTGTGTGTTTTTTCGTATTCAACTAACCAACCAACATCACATTAAAAAAAAAAAAAAAAAAAAAAAAAAAAAAAAAAAAAAATCTGAAATGTTTCAGATTTTAAATTACGTCCAAAGGGGCGTTTTTTTTTTTTTTTATCGTTTTGAGTGTTACCTTTATTTATTAAATATCATGTTCTTTGCACTTAAACCCATAAAATTCAGTTCAAGAGCAATATCGCAAATAATGTTAAATTAAGCATATCTTTAGAATTTCCGATATACACAGTCTCGCGAGCTGGAGATAAAAGTATTTTTTTTTTCTATATAACGTTTGCCATTTCTCGCTTTTAAAAAAGCATTGAGTTTGTAAATCAAAAATTCGTTAAAGTTTTACAAAATATAAAATCTATAATAAAACAAATTCCAAATTTGGGATTTCAGATGCCCATATTCGCAGTAGGATTTCGTTATTCAAGATTCGATGGCTCTATGTACCATTGTTTTATCACAATGCGAGAAATAGACAATCATTTATGCAGATTTTTCATTATTTAATTTCTTCAAATATAATGCAGGACTCTAACATTTTGTGGCAACAGTTTGAAAAGTGAACCGACGTTTATGAGTCCGACGCAAAATCGCAAAACGAAAACAATAGTCCTTCAGGGACAAAGCCCCTTTGGACTAAAAATTGCTAAACTGACTAGATTTTCCGATAATACTCGTTTAACATTAAAAGTACTCAGAACTTCATCTGGTAATTTTTCCGTGTTCAAGATAATCACATTTAAAAATGTATTAAGATATGACAAAACCTGAGATCTAAGAGACTTTCTGTGGTCGTGCTGCTAACGGAAAAGTACTCCTTTTTTTAAATACGCTTAAAATAATTTTTAAAAAATCCTTCTTTTTTGTCATTTTATTTAGAGAAAAATAAATTGCTTTAAGCATTTGTGGTTTAGAAACTTAGCAAAATTTCATTTATGTCTTAATTACTTAATTCATACTTACCCAAGCATGAAAAACGTGTCAACGGAAACCCATGCATTGGTTATAATTTGAAAAAGGATGTCGTCCATGTAAGTTTTAGCATGGCTCAAACGAGCTAGGAAATTTAAAAGGAAAAAAAAAAAAGAAAGTTAATAATATGTATTTGGTTACAGGTAATAAATTCACACACATATTAGAGTTATTAAAATTTATAAATGAAAACGATTATACACTATTCATTTCTGTCTGAGAAGCTAAGTTCAGTTCAAGTTTTCAAGTTCAAGTTTTTCAGTTCAAGTTTTCAGGTTGAAGGTTTTCAGTTTAAGTAGATAAAGTATGGCTACAAATTCTTACGTCGAAGATCTAATTTGTTTGTTAGTTTGTTTCTTAACATTAGGCTTCAAAAGTGTGATGTCCACTTAAGTCTTTGTTAATAAATAAAATCAGAATGTTGCATGTTATTGATAACGAAATCATCACTAGTCAGATCGATTTGCGTGAAGGCAGAGAATCCTTTGGATTAAGGCATAGCTAAATGAGGTACACTAATTTTAGCGTTGTTTACGAAGATACCTTTTAGCTTGGACAAAATATTTTCAAACAAAATCATATTTTTAATAATACAAAATGCGGAACGGATACGTCCAATTACTGCTTCATTTATTTTGCATTCGTCGTATGTGATTTGCATTTTCCTTAAGGCTCATATTTTACAGACTTATTAGGGTTTTTGGAACTGGTAAGCGACAAAAATCAACATCACCATCACCAGGATTCGACTACTTATAAAGGACAGCAAGACATTAGAAATATGATAACTGCTTAAATTCTCCTCTGCTTAAAGGACGACTGGATAGAGACATGAAAGTCAGTCGACCAAATCCAAATGATGACGAGTTGTCGTTCACCGCATTTTAGTCTCTACAGTTCGGGCGCCACTGTAGAGACTACTAAATGTTTTGAAGCCCAGAAATACAGAAAATCAACTTAGAACTCCTCCGGAATACGAAAAAAAAAACCAGAATACGAACCACGAATCTTCCACTTACCAGTTAGACCTAGTAAGCTGAAGATTCATGCCACTTTAGACTGTAAGAGCAACGTATAGGGGACTGCGATAATTTCTTACAACACGAATCATGAGGCGCAGTTCAGTGAAATAATCAAAGTGTTATGCTCCCTGTACCTGAAAATAGTGATTATTCAGAGAATTAAATAATCGATGATATTTACAACTGTCAAGAGTTGTGAGTTGGTGTGAACGTAGCAGCGCTTAGAATATTTTAATAGGCTTTTATTGCTGTTAACTGTTTATTGTTATAACTTTTAAGTACCAGAAAATCTTGTGCTGATGTTGAAAATACAAGCCATTTACTTTAGATACTATTAGTCTTGTAGCTTCCCAATATTTCTGAAAACTGTTAAATGGGACATATAAATGCACTTCTCTTTCATGGGTTGTTCATAGAGTGTATGAAGTGCAGCTAGAAGAGTTCTTAAAATCTGTTATTGATTTTAATGCTTCTGATCTGAACCTACATCGAAATCAGGTCGACGAATTTGACCATAGATAAGAAGAAAAAGCTGTGTTTGTCGTTGGCTTAGGTCTTTGGAACCTTATACAAGTGAAAGCATGATTCATAAAATCAGATATGGTTACATCGTTTCTATACTCACATACAAATTTGGTGTAGGAGACATCTAAGTTTTATTATTGTGGCTGACAAGCAAATGCAAAACATATTTGACAACCGTTGCCTTAGTTGTATAGTATCCAATTTATCTTGTGCGATATTTATAACTGGACATAGCCGGTTACATAATTTGCAAACTTAGAAAAACACAATCAATTTGAGCTCTCTGATAAATTTAAGAGATCCGTAAGGTACAATAGTGTTACTTTTATTTGCTAGAAAGTAATCATATTGATTCGGTATTTTACTGTATTTTACTCTTAAAAATGATCATGATTATATTGTTACGGATTTTGTATTTATTTAGCTATTTGTAATTAAATTGTTTCATTTCCCCGTGCAATGCTGCGCGCGACCAGTTTTAAGAGAAAGCTACGCCATAAAAGTAAAAATACAGGAGCACACGCATTTAATATTTAGTAAATAGATATCTCGTAATTGTACTCTTTTGCTTTCCAGAAACCTCGAGAAAATACCGGAATATTCTCGTGCATGATTAAAAAGCTTATAAAAGCCGGAAGAAAACATCTCAGTTTAGTTGTTTACTTAGTTCTTGTTGTTGATTGTAGCGAATTCGTGGTGAGATCGGATTAGCTTTCTCTACACTTGAATTGTGTTCTAATTAACGTTTTCGTAGTTTAAAATATAATTGCTGTGAGATACTGTCATATTGTACGAATATCTCTGAGGACATTTATCATTTTGTTTAATTTCTTGGGATAAGAATAAATTTTATTAAATATTTATCGACTTGTGCATTCAATCCATTACGAACGCGTACGCACGCAACAGTATGATAGCCACGATAGTTATAACTATTTGGTTACTACAATATTTGTAACCAGTTAGAAAAGATTGTTTTTAAACATCGGATAGAAATAAAATGATTACTAAAAATACGTAATACACAGCAGACTGTAACTGCTTTTAGCTAAGCGAACTGTATTACAAAAATATATGTGTTAGACATTTAAAAGAGGAATTACGAAAGCTACGAAAACTGAATTATTTAAATTTGCTCACCATTATTTGTGAACTTATTTTTCTTCTACTACGCTTTCAATGGAAAGTTACATATTCCATAATTTTTCAGTTTGATATTAAATTAAGCCAAATTTATCTACAGCTTATCGTGAATTAAAAAAAATATTGTTCTATGCAGGGAGAATGTATCGCGGGTTTTTTTACTTTAAGCTACAAAAAATAATTTTAATATGCGAATGATTTATTTAAAATAAAAAAGTTGAACCTCGCATCTGCTTTGAACTTTCTTACTCTATTTTAATAATTTAAATGGGAAAACCAGGAATGGTTTTTTTTATACACCGCATAAGTTCTTAGAATGTCATTTATTTTTAAATAATTTTGCTTAAAACCATTAATGATCTTCTTCGTTAGAAATGAACACCCATTAAATGTCGAAATACATAGCATGAACTGGTAACGATTAGATGAATTGTGTACCATTACATACATACCAGATTTCTCTCACTCAAATATAAGAAGACAAGCAAATCTGTTATTATACTATTATTATAAGTAAACGTAATAACATATTAATCGTTAGTTACTCTGCTGAACAGACATAAATATTATACTTATATTTATCTATCTATGATTCAGTACTTATCGATTATAAATGTAAAAGTGCAATATATTTTTGTCTTATTGAAGTAGCTCTTTCAATATTTCATAAAAAAACTTTTATTTTTGAGAATTGCTTGTGTATGAATACTGCTTTTTGCTTACGTTTTGCATATAATTGAACTGAATAAGATCTTTGCTTTCATTGCATTGCAGATTTTCTGTAAAATATAAGGTGCATTTGCATTTACACTAGAACTATGCATGTTTTAACACCTTCGGGAAAAATCCAATACAGTCTTCAAAATAATAATAATTTAAAGATATTTCCGAGGACAGACTTTGAAAAACAGTTTAGTTGGAACAGTATTTAATACAGAGCAGCTGGAAAATTTTACTTCTCTTCTCTTTGCGATGTTTTCTCCCACGATGTTTTGTAGCACTACGTTTTCGCCTTGCGTTGTTTTCTTCGCAACGTTTTCGTCCGTGATGTTTTCGGCTGTAACCGATGTATACTGCTCAAAAAAAAAAAAAAAAAAAAAAAAGGACAGTTCTATATCTCCCGATCTACTGGGCCGATTGACAAAATTCAAATTGCGTTCTTCATGTCTCGAAAGCGCGACTTAGGATATATATTAGATTTATATATAGCACTATTCTAACATAGGTATTTTGACACAAAATCGGACTTTTTCTGAAATAACATACCAATTTTTTTACATATTTCGATTCTACGACTCAAATTACGCCTAAATATGAAATTTTGTAAAATTTGGAGCGAAATTTACGGAGAAATTCACAAATTTATGTTGGCACTTTTTTGTCAGTTTGCGCCAAGAATACTTCACTTGGCGAACTTCTTAATATATGGCAACCTAGTTTCCTTTCCCGTGAGAGGAAAAAAAGTCACCATCGTTCCTTTTTTCCAAATAATATTCTTTATATTATATTTTTAATTATAACTTATTATTTTAAGTAATTTTTTTCTTTTTCGAATTTCATTTTAATTGTTTAAGTTGCACGTTTTTTTTTTTTTTTCGAATAACTGTTTTAAAAATTTCTATTTACCTATTCGAACTGCGTAAATAAAGGTGCAGCGTTTATTTTTTTTTTTTTTTCAAATAGTTTTTCTTTATATATATTTTTCGTCATAGTTATTATTTTAGGTAATTTTTAAATTTTTATACTTTTATTTTAATTGTTTGTGTTGCATTGTCTCTTCAGATAATTGTTTTAAAAATTTTCTATTTATTCCTTCGAACTGAGCATTTTAAATATATTTATTAATATCAATTTTCCAGAATTTGATTTTATTTATTTGAACTGCGTTTCTTTCGGAAGAATACTTTGTAACCCAGACTACGATGCGTTTGAAAACTGCATACTATATTAAAAGAGAAAATACAGTAAAGCACAGTTTTACACGCCTTTCAATGTTCCGTTCAGAAAAGATATATATAAATAAGAGAGATGTATAACCGACATTTTAACTTAGGATGACTTGCATACACTGCTTTAAACAGTTTTATCATTGTGCCCATTGCTTTACACAATTTTATCCTACATTTGGTTTCTTAAAATGTTATTCATATTTTAGTCAAATATTTTATTTTTGAAATCGCAAGAATCAAATATCATAAGATTGAAAAGTTTTAAATTAAAAAAATACAAATACTAACTAAATTTTACGAAAAAATTTATTTTTCTTCTCTTTTCTTTAAGCATTCTGAAAGTATATTAAAAAGTATCCAACTTTTCGAAACATTTTGGTATTTCTGAAAATCATTTTAAATAAAGTTATCGCCTTCCATTTCATAAAGGCCCACAAACGGCCGAGCGGTAAAGACGCGAGCGGTAAAGACGCCGAGCGGCTGATGGTAAAGACGCTGATAGTTCTGTCCGAGGTTCGAATCCTCCGAACAGGCTGGTTGCATGGGTGTTTTCGTGGTTTTCCCGATGTGTAACGTGTATACGAGCCAGTTTCCCTTAGAAAGTCTTCCACGAAGGCATCCCTCCCTTTAGGCAGATAGCCCTCGTGTGCTTTGCCATAATTAAATAATCCAATCCCAATCCTTAATTAAATAATTGATTTGTAACTTCTACTAGAACTGACGTTAAGAATTGAAGTGCAAATAAATAATATCGTGTGCAATCTTGATTAATATAAAATTAAAAATATTTGCACAGAAAAATATTTGCATTCAGACAGAAAGTTTTTTGAAATATTTGCAATTACTTTATAAGAAGGATTTATTAATAACCGTAATAATTACTTATTATATTACTGATGATTAGGAATCAGTTCTTGACAATTACATTCTAAATTAGAATTTTAAGAATTATTAGAATTTTAAATTAGAATAATGAAAATACGCTACGCACAAAAATACATTTTAGGATAAAAAATGAGTTGATTTTTTATGTTTTAAAACTTCTTGAATTCATTTAATAAACATCGTATCCTCGTTGTTAATTGAATTCCAGAATGTTGGGTGTCGTTTATATAATTATTCTTACTTGTCCACAGAATCTGCTGACTTATCCAGCGATTAAGTAGCTGCAGATCATTTCTACATAACCATTGAACTTCCATTAATTCAGTCTCTAGAGGGTTGTATGTTTATATCATAATTTGACTTTTATAAAAATGATTATTCTAAATCTTATGTTTCTATAAAAATATACTGTGCTTTAAAAATATGGATGATAGTACCAGCCGCTCTTTCAGCCACTTCAAAAGCATCAGTTTGTTTAGAAATAAATTGTGCAGTTAATGTCATAAAATTCAAATAAACATCAAACGAAAATTCTCAGTTTTAGACAATTCGATTTAAACGAAGTAAAGTAGCAGACGATAAAACGCCGAAGGTAAAAATTTACTCTTACAAAAATGTACTCTTATTTTTTTTAAAAAAAAAAAAAAAAAAAAAAAAAAATAGAGAGAAATTTAAAAAAATATTAAAAATTTATTTAAAAAAAAATAGCTTTTCATATAGTATTAATAAATATTTATTACGCATCATTGAGGGAAAAAATGTCATATAATTAATTCTCCGTAAAATTTTACTTGAAATTTAAGGTTAAAAATAGCTGTGGCAATACAGTGTAACAAAAATCCATAGACCACATTTGGCGTTATTATCGCTCAAAAAAAAGATGCCAAATTTCAAAACGCGAAAATATGTAAATTTGTGTATATCTTAGAAAATTTTGAATAAAAAAGTCTAATTTTTTGCAGATATGCTTAAAAATACACCTACTTTAAGATGATGGTAAAAATTTTATAGGTTATAATTCAAAATTTTTTTCGAAAAATTTATAAAAATTATTTAAAAATAGAAATTTAAAAAATAAAACACAAAAAATGGGTAAATTTTATTTGGAATGAACCTAAATTTCGAAATGTGAGAGAAAAAAATCAAAAAAGTTTAATAAAAAAAGAGATATAAATAAATATTTGCCAAATTCAATTAACATTGAGGAGCTAAAATTTTGAGAGCTAATATTTCAAAAACTACTCGTACGATTTTTACAAAACTTGGTATTCTGGCATAATTTGAGTCGTAGAATCGAAATATGTAAAAAAATTGGTATGTTATTTCAGAAAAAGTCCGATTTTGTGTCAAAATACCTATGTTAGAATAGTGCTATATATAAATCTAATATATATCCTAAGTCGCGCTTTCGAGACATGAAAAACGCAATTTGAATTTCGTGAATCGCCCAGTAGAACGGGAGATATAGCACTGTCCCTTTTTTTTTTTTTTTTTTTTTTTTTGAGCAGTGTACCTGTTATCAAGACAGCAGATCAGATGTATCGAAAGCTACGGTATATTTGTAAACGTAAAGAGTTTCTTCCAAAGGGAGTAAATGCTGACATAAGGAAAAATTAACAATAATCGTATTCAAAAATAAAAATATTGACTGCAAAAATTGTTTATTGTATGATTCACATAGTTCATATTCAGGTTTGGGCAGTTGTAATAAAACCTTTGGAAGTTTGCACCAATACTAAACATCGTTTTCAATGACATTAGAATAGCAGAAATTGGAGAAAATCTAATGCCAAACATGTTCAGCGAAAGGGGGACAAGCAAGGAGAGTGACTAAAATGCTTTTAATGACTGCACGAGACTTGTATCCGTCATATTCACGAAGAATTGCTGCGTATCAGCCTCCAAAAGAGAGTCTACACCGCATTAATAAAATATTATTCGAATGGGTTTGTTTCATTTTCATTGTCTAGCCTCTGACTCAGAAATAAAATTAAGTTTGTATTAAATGTTAGAGATTTTTCAGCTCTTCGTGTTAGTCATCTAAATATTGGGCCAAAAGGTATTTTAATTCTTAGAAAATAATAATGTAATCAATACCATCTTGGACAGTTCAAAGATTGATTATTAGCTTAATAACGAGGGAGGTCAGACTGAAGTTTAGCCCACTTTTGAATGTTGAAGAATCTCTTCCAAATATATCTCCATTTAAGATGTTCCATTAAAGACTTTTCTGTTCGTTTGAAAATTCTACTTCCTCATGAGATTTAATAAATAATTCAATACTTTCAACAATAATCTAAGTTGCGTCAAAACTGCATTTGCTTTTTTATAACCTTCTTCTCTTTCTTAAGGACTTATTTGATATCATTACATTAAAATTTAAGGTAATTTACTATTCATAGAGAATTTCTGAGAAAGGAGGTTTTAGGGAATACCAAGGAATAGGTAAAAAAGCAATCTGAAAAGCAATTCTGTGGGAAGGATAGAGGTAGTATAAGAAAGAGGGGTAATCTTGCAAGAAATTCGGGCTGTAATTAGCTACCATTTTATGTTGGATCGCACTGAAAATTACCTAATCCTTGTCTATGTCCAAATCCATATGTATGAGCTAAGACGATCCACATCAAGCTAAGGCATCGGATACCATTTACCGCTCCAAGAGTAGAATTCCTTCGAGGAGATTTGAGGAGTTGCCGAATGTTGGCTGTTGCTGAGAAGGCAAGTAGACTTTGTGGAACACGGCCTATATGAAAGTAAAAGAAGAATTGTAAACAATATAGAACAACTTAATATAGCTTTGTTGATCGAAATAAATGCCTTTAATCTAAATATTAGTCGTCACTGCTTTATAGCCATTCATACTTAGCTCTAAAAAGCATAAATAAAACCTCTTATAATGGTTAAAGATTCGTTTAGTGTTTAGCTGTTTTTAGCTTATATATTTGCCTTTAGCTATTTTTAGCTTATATTTGGAGCTTGTTTGTAACATTTTGGAAATGACTGATTGTTACTGTTGTTATGAAATGTATTATAATTACAAATTCAAATTATATTTATTTGCCAAATATGTATTCTATTTCTTATGATATTTCCCAGATAGCTTGCTTTTTCCTCATGTGGAAACGAGACAGCTTTTCGCCAGTGAATTTAAAAAGATACAAGAAACCAAAATGACGAATTTAAAACTGTATAATTTTTGATACTGCAGAATTGTACAACTTTAAAACTGTAAACATTACACAGAATTAGCCAGAGAAGCTGCAACTAAATGTTATACATTCTGGGTGATTAGATTTCATTTACTCAATTCAATTATGTTAATGGAAGGATATAGCATCGATATAAAGATGGAACTGTTATTCTTTTAAACTATTTTTAAGGTTATTTTATTGGTGAGTATTATACAATCTGGCAGCTTTGCTACTATTAGTTAATTTTATATAATTACTCTTTTATTTTCTACATCTTTTATATTTGTAATACTTATTCAGAAATAACCAGGTCAGGATAAAAATTTAACCGGGCCCGATTAATAATAATAATAATAATTGTAAAAACAAGACCTTTGGCTTGTTATTAAAATAATTAAACATTTTTATGAAAGTATAATAGACTGACAGAATTAAATTACATTAATTGTCCAAATCAAAAAAAGTCATCACTCATTTAAAAATGCTTTTTTTTTATCATAACTATTTAAAAGGACTGGCCGTGAAAATAGTGAGAAAATAAATATATGAAAAAGGAAATAAATGCAAACGAAAATTGTAGATTAAATTATAACTATGAAACTCGTAATTAGCTAAATGTACACAAATTGCCCAAGAAAAAGCAAAAGGGGGAGGGAAGAGAAAACTGAATGTTAACTTGAAAAAAAGAGTTATCTCGGTTTTTCAATGCTGATCATTCTAACAAAATTGAAATAATAAATAAATAAACAAATATTTGGGTAAAAGCTTCGCATACGCTCAATTAAAAAAAAAATTGTATACGACTATATACTGCATACGCGTTAAAACTTGTATACAATATATTCGAATACATTCATCTCAGAGATATGCATCGCTTCAGCTCTTTTGCATTAGCAAAAGATAGAAAAACAAGATAGCAGATTCACACAAATGAAAGCAGTAAAAGAATGCTGAATCATGTTTACTAAAGAGCAATATTATTTAATTTAAAAATTTTCTTGTGCACTTTCTTGTGCCTAACACGTAAACTTATACTGGAAACAATGTTCTCAAAGTGAAAACGTGAAGGTAGTGGGAATAAACCTGGGAAAATAAAAAGAATGAGCAAAGCTAACTTATCTTAGGCAGTCAGTTCAGCTAAAACGCATTCTGAAATGAATTCTGTCTCTACTTTTTTCAATACTAGTAACTGCTAATAACGAACGAACACTTTTTTCATTTTGTTGCTAAAATTTCATAATTAAATCATTTGCTGATAGATAAAATATGATAAAGCAGTGCAATTGCACAGATAAGTCTAAAATTTTTATTTAAATTATCAAATTTTAAATCAAAATTAAAAAAAAAAAAAAAAAAAAAAAAGGCTGAGTCCGACTGTCTTGATTAGGCTATCCACAGCTACCTATTCACTGGCGCTATCCCACTACTGCACTATGCGGGAACTTTTGCCTGCTGCGTTTCCGCCCTGGGCTGGTTCATTCCTCATTAGACGACCTGGTAGATCCGGGCTCCCCCAGTTCCACCATATCGACACAGTGCTTAGCACGGACGCCGGATCGACACAGAGCAACTGAGGATAGAACTCCCAACCTCAAGCCGTCCGACAGCCTCGACCTCCAAAGTAGCTGGATTACAGGAACACGCCACAGTTCCCGGTCGCTGAAGGTTCCTTTTTATACCTTATAAACTTAAAACTATCAGAAAACACGTTTGTGCTGCCATCTGTTAGTGGATTTTGTATCATCTTTTATACTATTGCGCAAACCAGAAAGAATCGAAACCTCTGAATTGATGTAGAAATACAAAAATATATAGCGAAAGCACAAAACGAAAATTGAATTCATTTTGCATTCTGACCGTAATTAGATTTTTGACTGATTAAAATACTTTACTTATAGTAGCTTTACGTAGAAGCTTATTTATATTGATGTGTGGGCAGAAGTAATCAATTTTTTTAAATAACATTTTAATTAATTTAACAGTCATTATATTCATCTAATTTATTTGGAAAATAATTCGATTCGAATGGCGTAAATCTTATTGTAGGTCGCAAGAGTTTTGGTTATTTAATAGTAAAATAGCGGTTTGCCATATAAATAATTATAATAATTTTTCTATCACACTCTTCAGAGAGAACCTGCGTTACAAAGCAGATTTTCATAGGACTATAGAAATACTATAATTATATCATAGTCTCTCTTTCCGTAAAAATAACTACACAGTTCTTGTCTCTATTAGTATTAAAGGATGAACAATTTACATGTATGTATGCATGCATGTATCTCGCTTTGGAAAAAAAATGGCGGCATCTAGAGTGACCAAATTCAAACACGAACATGTGCGTCTCGGAGTCCGATTTTTAATTTCAAATTAAAAAGAATTTTATGTTTCGGGAGGACTTAATGAAACTTTGGTTATCCTACTCAGCGGTTCAAAAGTAATGTGTTGTCACTCAGGTATGACGGAAGATATTTACCTTCCGAATTTAATCAACAAAACTGACGATTTAAAAGAAATGTAATAATGAAATGCAACGTAATAATTTGAAATAAAATATTTGATCCTCCATGTGTCGATTTCTTTCTTCGGCAAGGAATGATAGTCATTCATTCATTTATTTATTTTAAAAATTTGATCTGTCTGTTATTGATTAATAAACTATATTTATAAAAGCAGTCAACACAGGTCTTCATCAAGAGAGAAGAGGAACACGCCAAAAATAAAACTAGGCAAAGTAAAATCTTGGTTGGCTCAGAGTTTAGTCAAGTCTCTATCGATTTCGAGGGCAAACAAGTACAAGTCCCTCTTCATCAGGAGCAAAGAAACCCAGAAATTTCATCTCTACTGTAATTATTAATATACAGCTGGATCCGTGAAATTACTGTATCTTTACTTTAAAACTCTTTATACATATTTTCTTTTTTAATAATTATTTCAGGCGAAGAGGCTATTTAAAAAATAACAGAATGGCTTAAAAAATTAAACATGTTTCTAGTATTAAAAACTGCCTCTGTAATTAAGCTACTACATTCTTAATATTAAAATTTATTTACATTTGCCTTACTCACTTGTTGAATCTTCCTAGGACTTAAATGATTTTCGGATAGTTGAAGTACTAGTCTAAGTATTAATAATACAGTACAAAGTCCGTAATCCGTCCGGACTCGTCGGGACTTCGGCGATTCCGGATTTGGGAATTTTCCGGATATTAGATCATCAATTTAAATCTGGTAAGATGGCATGCAGAAATTATACAATTAAAAATATGAAACTGTAATTTATGAAATAAAGAGCAATTATGATCTAAAGGGTATCAAATTTTACAAAAAAAAAAGAGCTCAGTATTTATTTGTTTACTTTATCATCTTTCAACGCGCGCATGCGTAAAGCGCGTAATGTATGCGCATTCTTTACGCGCATGCGGAAAGTTTGTGTCTTTGAGGTCCGGATTACAGATCATTCCGGATAATGGACGTCCGGATTACGAACTTTGTACTGTAATATATGCTTAATAATAGCAGAAGTCAATGAATTCATTAACCGAAACCAGCCTGGATTACACGCTGGCAGAAATGTACAAAAGCACAGATTTCCTGGTAGCGTCGCAAAAACTTTCTCCATTCAAATTATATCTTCTCTCGCTTATCATATTATTATATATTCCTTAGAAAAACTTAGACCATTCTTCTACTGAAGGTGGCAGATTACGTAGAAGCACAGGACAGTTTTAACATAAAATAACCCCCTTTTTTTACTCTTAATCATTTTGAGCATTTCTATCGATTCAGTATGGATTAATAGAAGATGATTAATGAAATCTTAACTGACTACGGGAACATAAGCTTCTGTCTTTCAGATAAAGGATGATGTATTTCTACATATGGCCCAGAAAATTCACATTCGCAAGGTTCTCTTTCCCTTTGATACACTCTGCAGATGTTTTAAGTAAGTATTATGCAAAACATGAACACTCACCTGTCTCTTGAGGTTTAGAAGCATATTTTGTTACATAATTTTCGATCAAAGTTCCAGCAATGATCAACAAGCCTATTACTACAGCTGTAGATCTGAAAATACAAATTAGCTGCAATGAATTAATAATTAATAGGATATTACTTAATATTAATAATTATTAGGATATTTATCGAATAATATTATTTCAAAAAAAGTTTTCGAAAGTGTAAAATTGTTAACATGATGTCCATGCTCCTTTCTTTAGATATCGGTAAAAATGGTTAAATTTACTTATAGAACTTTGCTAATATTTAAACGTCTTCAAAAGATAACAGAAAGTTATGCTGTTTTAAAAATAACAATAGAAAAATCTTTGCAGCGTTACTTATGCTTAGATTTTATAGTTTTTCCAAACCGCCTAACTTAAAAACATTAAAAATATTACGGGGAAGTTAGATATGTCATGAATATGTAAGCTGTATTTAGACGGACTATTTTTCTGTTTACTATTGCGAAATATTCAAAGATTTACTAAATACTCTCACTTTTTACGTCTGATTAACTTCCGACTTTATTTGATGCGTTAGATATGTCATGAATATGTAAGCTGTATTTAGACGGACTATTTTTCTGTTTACTATTGCGAAATATTCAAAGATTTACTAAATACTCTCACTTTTTACGTCTGATTAACTTCCGACTTTATTTGATGCATGTAATATTTTTAAAGTGTTCTACATTATGAAAGGCGATATAAGTCTACATTCACAAAGACTTTTCATGTTGTAAACAGAATGTAAACTTAGACAATCATAAATATAGTGCAATATTGCAACCGAAATTTCCCACCTTATAATTAATTATCTTTGTAATATTTTGTTTTCTTTAAATTACTTTATCGTAAAAATACAATATCTAAAGCATAATAATAGACAAAATATTTGTTAATCGACCATTTTATATTCATTTATCATTAATAAGTTTATTATTAATAAGGCTTAGAGTATTGAAAAGTCACATATGATAACAGCACTGTGTGTCGCGACACACAACGCTGGATATATTCTTAGACATCACTGCGATGTCTAAAGATGAGCTGTGGGAGGGAAAAATATATTTGAAAAAGTTCTTAAATTTATTATTTGACTTTATATCTTAAGGGGAAAAAAAAAGAGCTATTTTTTCTTACCTAGAAAGGCAGAAAATTCAAATAATAATAAATCTATTGCGAGATGACGATATACCCCTAAAATTGTTGTTCCTTATGGCTTTATTCGGAAATCAATCCATTTACATTAGGCTTACTCGCCAAAAACATAACGTTAAATAAAAAATTACATTACCAAAACATTATAAAAGCTGATGTGTACACCAAATGACTCTCCTCAGTTTTTTTGTAACATATTGTAATATGTTTTCTAACATTTTGTAATACTTTTTGTTTTGGATAGGTTATCGACTGTGCTTTGTCGACTGTGCTTGTACGAAATATTAAATTCTACGCATTTTTTTCCAACTTATTTCCCAGAATTTCATTAGATATATATTTCTCATTTAATTAATTCTATTTCTCACATCGCGACAAGGCAAAAATACATGAAAACTCAAAATATGTATATAAATTGAAAGATATAGAAAAATATAAAACATCAAATATAGTTAAAACAAATTTACAATTAAAATTGCAATTTCTTCGCAAAAACAAGCCGTTCGAGCAGCGGACAAGAAAGCAGATTTTTCGGTGCACAAAACTGAAAGTTTTTCTTTTGGTCTCACCCGGAAAAAGACACTAATGGCACAAAAATTGACTTGTTGTGGATTTGTTGTGGACGCTATACTGAGTCAACATATGGGATAATTTAAAAACGTTAATGATAATTCTAAAATGGATTAAGATGATTTAATTTGCAATACTGAAAGAAGACGTTACTTTGTTGTTGCGAAGCTTAGTTTCTATAGATTGGCAACAAATCCACTGTTCTATTAAGTTTCAAATGTATACAAATATGTGCTGCTATGATAAACAAATTAGGCTTAACCGCACTTGAACAACTTTTAATTTGTTGATAATTCTACAACTATAGTATGCAGGTTAACTAAAGGCATAAAAAGTAACCGGAAGATAAGAACAAGATAATTCAATCATTTTTAAAGCAAAAAATGAACAACTACCAACATCTAAGAATAAAATCTTAGCTCACGGAGCCGAGTGGCAGAGTGAGTATACATATACGTATATTTATATACTTTTGGGGCGGCTGATTGCCGTCAAAAAAGGGAAGTGCGTAACTAAATGTTATAGCAGTCAAAATTTCAACGTTCTGAGGCTATTCCTTTTTGAGTTATGCGAGATATATACATACATACGTATACGTACGTGCAGACGTCACGAAAAAATCTCTTCTGAATCCATTTTAAATCAGTTTTAGAATTCGTTTGGAGAAAAAAGTGTCCTTCGCTCTATCCTTACGTACCAGATGTCACGGAAAACATCTTTAAATTGCATTCGATAGCTATAAAAATGGGTATTTTCTTTGAAATATGGTACCCGGAGTTTTTCGTGATTACAATACGTTCTTTACTTAGTAAAAGGAAGTAAAATCACTCAAAAATTAAAGTACTAAATTTCAAGTCTTTTCGATGCCAAAAAATTAAGACATAAAAATTTCACAATTAAAATATTAGAAATCTGATTTGAGGCGAAGCAACTATGTGATGAGGTGTGCATAAGTGCTCAACCATGTGCATAAGATCCCTGGCCATCCAATACAGCAGAAGAACATTACCACTATATTGTAACTTTTTAGGGTCAAGATAAAGTGGCTTACTACTAAAGGAAAATTGCACCAATAATAAGTTAAAAGCGCTCTTAAAAACGGAAGGATAATATAAAACTGCAAAAACATTAATTCAAATTTTAACTGCTAGAAAAACACTTGGTAAGGAATTAATTTTATTATACATTTCTTTTGAAATAGAATGTTTTGAGTGTAGAAAATTATATATCAACATTTTATATGCTTTCGATTATTGTTTTTTTTTTTTTTTTTTTTTTTTCAAATTCTTACTTAAGCAATATTCTCAATATCTAGGAAGGAGAATTTACATTTTATGTTCACAAAGTACAAGACTGTATTAAAAACTTTCATGTAATACACTACTTTCATTAAAGAACATCTTATAAAATAATTTTTATAACCAGCTCTGAAATCAAATTGATCTTATTCATTTGATCTTGAAACGTTTGTCTTCCGCCGAATGCAGTGAAATGCCGAATGCAGTCCATCCGAATGCAGTGAAATTATAACAAACGTTTATAATTACTTTTTGTCTGGAGGTAGGATTTATAATTTTTTTTCCATGACTTGCTGCATTGAAAATAACTTTGCTATGTTTTTCGACAATTATCTCAATTTACGAATGTTACCCGAAAGTTAATTAGTTTAATAGTATTTATAATTTTAATAATTTTTAATAATATTTCTAATTTTAATAATTTGTAATAATATTTCTGTTAATTTATTCTACGCACTGCACTGCAAGAATTATTTAAAACTTAACAATAACGCAAATCTTTTACCGCACCTCATTAAAGTATTGCTTTTCTTTTTGATATAATTGCATTCTATTTTAATATTCATAAATCTCATATGGAATTTGTAAATCGCACTCCTGCTTTGAATTAAATGGATATTGGCAGTTGATACTAATATCAGTTTTGCGACATTGATTAATTGGATGTGGCAATTTTACTAACAACTAAGTTAAACATTGTCCTGTCTTAGTTCTTATCACATTCATTCTCTCAGACTGGAATGTAAACACATTAGAGTGTATGTGTATGTGATTATGACAAAGCCTCGAGGGCTATCTGCCTAAAGGGAGGATGCCTTCGTGGAGTACTTTCTAAGAGAAACTGGCTCGTATACACGTTACACATGGGGAAAACCACGAAAATGCCCGTGCAGCCAGCCCGTTGGCGGAATTCGAACCTCGGACCGAACTACCAGTGTTCAGCGACTTTACCGCTCGGCCGCTGGCCCGTAAACACATTAGAAGTACACAAAAAGGGTTAATAAGTTAGAGAATTAGCTATTAGCTTCTGTTTATAGCAATGAACACTGCGTGCTACCTCAGAGGAGTTTAATGAAACTGTATTTGTAGAAGGTAGGATATTCTTCCTGCTTTCTGTGCGAGTTGGTAAAGACTAATCAGATGCGGAGTTTGGAAGGGGGAAAGAACTATTTATGTCGATTGTAATTTCGAATAAGGAAACTCTCCTCAGTTTTTTGTAACATATTGTAATATGTTTTCTAACATTTTGTAATACTTTTTGTTTTGGATAGGTTATCGACTGTGCTTTGTGTTATGCATTCTTATTACTTCCTTGTACGAAGTAAAAAGGAAGTATTGTAATCACTAAAATTTTCGGGTATCATATTTGAAAAAAATATCCATTTTGACCACTATCGAATGCAATTTAACAATGTTTTTGCGTGACATCTGTACGTAAGGACAGAATAAAGAACTCTTTTTTCCACAAAAAAAAAAAAAAAAAAAAAAAAAAATTATAAAACTGATTTAAAATGAATTCTGAAAAGATTTTTTTCGTGGCGTCTGTACGTACGTATGTACGAACGTACGTACGAACGAACGAACGTACGTATAAGTACATATCTCGCATAACTCAAAAACGAGTAGCCTCAGAACTTTGAAATTTTGTATATAGGACTGCTATAACATGTAGATGTGCACCTTACATTTTGTTTGCAATCGGCCGCACCAAACGTATATATATATCCACTCTGTTATTCGGCGGGCCCACCAGCGGCCGAGCGGTAAAGTCGCTGAACACTGGTAGTTCGGTCCGAGGTTCGAATCCCCCGAACGGGCTGGCTGCATGGGCGTTTTCGTGGTTTTCCAAATGTGTAACGTGTATACGAGCCAGTTTCCCTTAGAAAGTCCTCCACGAAGGCATCCCTCCCCTTAGGCAAATAGCCCTCGAGGCTTTGCCATAATCACACACACACACACACACACACACACTGTTATTCGGCTCAGCTCAATTGTTTTGTCTTAGAAACTGTAATTTTAATTGTAAAAATTGTTTTTTAAATATGTTTTAACTGTATTTGGTATTTTATGCGTTTCTATATATTTCAAATTTTAATGTAAATAATTTGAATTTTTATGTATTTTTCCCTTGCTGCGAAGTGAGAACTGAATTAATTAGTAGCGCAGGCGCGTTAGGTAAGCGGCGCTGAATTGTCTGCGAAAAACTGTTCCTTTTTTATTTGTTTAATATCTTTTGTATATCGTTTCCGATTTGTTATAATATTTGAATAGAACCTGTGGTAATTCTTCAGATGATATAATTTTTGTGCACTTTTGAGTTATAAAATGAATATTAATGCTGTTAAGTGAAAGTAGCGTTGAAGTGTCGCTATGGTAAATAAATATAGAGAACGTTAAAGAGTGCATTTATTCTATTGTTGTTTAATACACTATCGACGAAGTAGATTTAATTCAAAATTCGTTAACTATTAATTCAATATGTTTAAATGAAATGCAGCAAAATTGCGTATAATTTAGTATTGTGCACAAGGAAGTCATGGAGTATATACATCAGATTTTTTAAAGTGTAACTCAGTGACTAAATAAATCATCATTTAGTTTTAATTTGTGGGTATTTGAAACTGATTTGTCTGAGTCTCGATACCAACACTCAACTGTAGTGTTTGGTATAACTCTGCATCAGGTTACTGTTAGGCAGATTAATTTCTAAGACTAGTTTCATAGCAAAATTTAGATTTGAAATTTCTTAACTGTTGAGTTATATCTCTTATCCATATTCAGGTGGAATTGAACTGGTAGCGACATATGATTTATAAATCAAATATAACACTATTTTTCGTAATATAAATATTTTGTCTCTTTAAAGCCACTGCTTAATATTTTCTCTCTCTGTGCATCAAGGATTTTATTTTCAAATAGAATTGTAAATTTTGTCTAGTAATTCTGAATCAACACTTACTCTATCTTTTTAACTGTAATTGTCAATTATGCATTTGTGGGACAATAGGCAGTAGAAATTTCATTCCGTTCATTTAACATTCTGATAAGCTTATATGAAGTGATTTTTATAAGAAATATAGAATAACATAAAATTCTGAAGTGGTTTACTTACATTACGATAATCTGAGGTATAGTGATGCGTGAATTTTGTTTCGTTTCACAGTTTCTGACTGACACTTGCACTGGAACTTTCTTCAGCACTGCAAAAAAATAACAACATTAAAACTGAAGTTGAAAACTTCCGAAAAAGATAAAGATAATACTTGCTGTTCTTCAAATATCAACATAATATAGAAGTAATTTAGGATGTAAGTAATTTCAAAATGGTGTTCTAGATGAAGTGAAAAATAAGCTATTGATAATATCTGCCACTTTTTTACTTGAATTGTCTAAATGTTTATAGTTTCTTAAGGGTAAAAACATTTATAATGCACCTCTTAAAAAATAAGGTCTTTTAATATCATTACGAGAATTAATAATAGAAAGCATTCAATAACACGAAAGCAATGAAACTTTATACATGAAAAAATATCTTTCCTGAATGAAAATATTAAAGAAAAAGATGATACAAAATTGTAAGAATAAGTAGAGATAACTTGTAATATATCACTGACTTAGCAATTTATGGTTGCATCTTTTATTTGTATAAGGCTGAGCAATCATTTTAAAATGAGTTCTCTTAAGGGCTTCAAACCGCTTTCTCTCACAGAGGGTTTTTTCACATTCTTAGAACGATTTTGATAAAGAATTTAAAAAAAGCAAATGTTTCGGAATCAAAATTTCGGACTATTATTGGAATAAGAAATACCAGCTGCTACTTTTAAATTTACTCTTCTTTCAAATTGGCACTTGCAAACAAGCTGTGGATTTGAAGGATATGCTTTAGCGCTTTCCGAAGATACATATTCTTATTCCATAATTCAAAAATGTTGTGAAATGCATGGTACCAGAGCAAAATAAGCATCATTATAATCGGAAAGGGAAAAACTGTCAATCATTACCTTACATTTAAAGAAGAGTGTAAACGAACAAAAGGATATCTACTGTTTCCAATGTTTCTAAAGTTAAGTTCTTAGTAAGAAAAGAAAAATTCACCGAAGCTAAAATAAATTGTGTAGTCTTTATATGTAGCAACAATAAATAAAATAACAAACCAAGATTTACAACTTAAAAAAGCTAAAAAACATAATGTTCACAAATTGGCTCAACGCAGAACAATTTGTAGAACCCTTTATGGAAACTATTTAGTGGAAGATAAATGGTAATACATTGTGATCCCTTGATGAAGTATGGAAAAAAAGATCTATTTATTATCGAAAATAAAGAGGAAAAAATATACGAACCTGATATCGTCAAAGCAAAAAAAGCTTCAATAAAGGGTTTATGATTGTAGCAGGATTCTGTTATAAATGGAAATTAAGAATAAGAAGAGTGGTGGAAAATTCTAAAATCAACTCAACGTATTATCAAGAGAAAGTGTTAGGTTCGATATTTAGAGAATAAATTCCATTTCTTTATCCAAGTGGCTTTCAAAGAGTGAAACTTTATCAAGACATAGCAACAAAACATACATCCAAAAGTATCATTGCATTCCTTGATAAAATGAAGACTGATACAAGTATTGCATATATTCTCTTCAACGTATTTCTGTATAAAGTCCCCTGATATTCCACTTGTGGACTACTGTGCCTCTAAGCTCCCGAAAAGAACTCTTTCTCAGCGCAAATCTACCACGAATGATGACTCTGGGGAGCATTGGAAGAGGAATGGAAATCAATACCCCTGGAAATTTTACGAAAAGCCTTTTTATCATGTAAATAATGGGGCAGACATATAGTTAAAACAAACAGGCTATCAGCTCAGATATTAAAAAAACACACTCTCTACAATATAAGGTATTTCTCCCACCTTCTTAGCATGCCTTCGTTGTGTAGTGGTCATCACGATTGGCGCGTATTAAAGGGGTCCGTGGTTTGAGTCCCGGCCAGGGCATTGCTCATTTTTCTCTCCTGCTTCAAAATAATCTAATGACTCTACAACACTTTACATAGCAATTAAACGGCCTCGAAAGCGTTCTAAATATGTGTTAACATTCCCTATAGCTACTTTGAATTCTTAATTTACGTTATAATAGTAATTACTAGAATAAATGTTCCGAGCTCAAAACCCTATTCATTTTCAGGCGGATTAAGATTCTAACTTATCACAAATCATTTCATAACATCAGTGTTCTCCTTTTTGAAACCAAAATATAGTCATAGTTAATGTATGTAAGGTGTCATCCTCCTGCTAGAATTTTCAGTATAGTTCGTTAGAAGTGGCCAAATGAAATTAGTTGCTTAAGGAGGAGCTTTTGAAATTTTAAATACTTCAATTTAAATACTTGAAATTATCTTAAATATTTTTTATAATCTTTAGAAAATGCTGTATAATATATTTGTTGTTTTCGTATTATAATTTAATTTGCTGTAATTTAATTAAAATAGTACTATGAAAAATAATCTTGCCCGTCTATGATCTCCGTTTTCTCATTAGAGAATAGGATTTATTTTTGTCCTTTAGTCCAATGCATGAAACAATTTCCCCAGTTTAAATGAATGCATTTGTCTTTATTCTAGTTTCACTGGGAACTATAGAAAATTGTTCACGATCGAAAATTAAAAAAAAATAAGCAGTCGAGTGTTATGAACTCAGCAGGACAAGACGAGGTGGACGGGACACTAGAACATCACCAAATGGTCTCACACATGTATAGTCACTGCGTATTAACTTCTATCCCAATTTTAATGGCCCAAGGCAGCCAGCATCACTAACCACTATACCGATCAAGACATCTATAAACTAAACAGAATAATAAAAAAATAGATAATACTCAACACTATAATCGATAAAAAAGTAAGCATTTACAAAATTATGAAGACTATTAAAATAATAAAACCAGTGGCGTAACAAAACGAATAAAGTTTTCATAAAACTAAATTAAGGAAGTCTTAGAGTAATAAAATAACGTAATAAAAGCTCATTAACATTTTTGTTTTTATTTTAAAATCATAAATTGGAGGTTGCTTCTTTTACTAATGGAGCACAAAATTGAGTTCAGTTAATGTATGTTTCCTATGTTATGAATACAAGGAAATTTGTTTCTAGCATTTGCATTTTGAATATCGATTAATACCATGTAAAATCTTAAATGAAAAGTAAATGATGCAAGAAGTTTAATCCTGAATTTTGCTGTTTTACTAAGATATTAGCTTCCAGCGTGAAGCTCATTAAAGTAGATACATATCTACTTAATTTATCTTTCGCCATTTTATGTCTTATCAATCGTTACAAGCGTGACTACAAAAAACCCGCGTCATTCTTGGTTAAGCCTCATATTAAAAAATTAAAGTATAGTTTAAATTCGAAGCGAAAAGGCTTCATTTATATCTATAAATTCAACTATATTATTAGTGAGCTATTTTATTTATCTGTCATATAAATGATGGATTTTAAAATAGCTTCTCCAGAATCTATATGTATATTCAATTTATTTAAAAAAGCAAAAATATGTTATTGCAAACATTAATTATTAATATTCTCCCACTTATATACACGTACGACACAAAAAGGAAGGAAAATGAAAATTCGTTTATAATTCAGGGAAAAAAAACTAATGATTAAATTATTGAGCGGTTAAATATTCGATTGTTGGAAAGAAGAATTAAGTATTACATTAAAAGTGTTAACTGAATTTATAAAGTTTATAGAAGTTAAATAGTATAAACATTTGCTTTCCTCGAATTAATTTACCGACGTTTTAATAACAGCTTAATCAAATTCATGAGATATTTTTTATAGATAATTTAGAAATCGTAGACTGAATGAGAAAAGGTTGAATACATATGCAATTTATAGCTAATCAATAATGGGAAAAACATGAAAGAGGTCTTGTGCCTAAAGACCCATTATCTGAGAGCATTGGCCTGTGTTTACGTTATACATGAAAGAAATCATAGAAATCCTGTGTAGAGACATTAGGTATTTTTTGAAAGCAGGAAAGATGAAAAATGAGCAGTGCCCTCACCGGGACTCGAACCTCCCGATTACGCGCCTAGTGTGCTGACCATTACACCAAGAAGACATGCTAAGAAGGCTGGAGAAATGCCTTATACCTGTACAGCAGAAAACCTTCATCGCCACAACCGAACCCGGGATTGAATTGCAATTATTTTGTAGCTTTAATCATTTAACCGCAGATGAGCATCTTTAAATGAATATCATGCAAAGAAGTTTTAGGTGTCATGTTTATTTAAAATATTTATATTAGTAGTTTTATTATAATTTGTCCTTTTTTTGTTTAACTGAAAGATCAATTAAATACATCTACATTCGATGCCCCAATATTCTATTTCAAAAATGTTTTTCTGGTGCAGTTTTTGTTTGACTTCTTAAAAAAAAAAAGTTCATTTTGCTTCCACACATATTTTATATTAATCAATCAATCAAAGACGGAACAAGCTTAAAAGGCTTTATTTCCGGCAAGGTGATAGAGAAATCAAAAAGTGAATATAACTGCTCCTGTTTACTATCAATCATTATGTTGGAGCCAGATTGGAAAACACGGAATAGAATGGAAATCAGGTTCATTTGTCAAGTAATTGTCCTGATAAAGTAGGAATCTATGAGCTGTACTTGTAAATTCCCTGACTGTCTTCTGTTTCAACATCCATCAGTCACTAATCATTGCCCATTCTGTGAAAGGAGCATGACCTATTATACAGACTAACAATGCAAGTACGTTTCTTCATGTTTCCCAAACGTTCTTTTCCTTATTTGGCATTACTGCAGAGTGGTTTGGATAGACCAATTTCAAAAAGAGGGTCACATTGACTAGTGCTCATACTGGTAAAGACATCAAAAACATATGCTTGGGCTTATTCATACGAAACGTATGAACAGTAATACTATTATATAATATTTCGAAGCATAAAAGATAGGTTTCCATTGATTCTGCGCCATTAATTTTAAAGGTATGTCATTGTTTATGGCCACATATACTTAATGACTTAACGTTATTTTTTGCATTTACGGAAAACATGTTCATGAGTCACGTCCAAAGGGGTGTTTATTCTCTTTAGAATTTCCGATACACAGTTCCGCGCTGGAGATAAAAAGGTCGCCCCCTCCTTTGTTAATCAAAAATTCGTTAAAGTTTTAC